TTATTATTTGCATTTTTCAGAAGCCAGAACAACATAACATGTGACAGCTTACCCGGTTCTGCACTGTGGGGGAGCCAAGTCCAGATTGGTTGTAGAGGCCGGTCACTTGACAGCTGAGCTTTATAAGGTCCGCATTCAGTCTGGCTCTGGCTTTGTCAGGAGATCTGCAGAAGAGAGAGGGTGCTCAGCATGCTGAGGAGTTGTGAGTTCCCTGACAGTCATCACGTTGTTCTAAGTAGTCCTTCATGGTGGACTTGAGCCCATGAGCTTGTGGGGTATTCTACTCATCCCCAAAGGATTACTGTTAAGTTCTGAGTAATTGTGAGACCCCATATTAGACATTCCTGGAACAGTATTTAGCTCACACATTTCTCATGGTGGGCTTTGGAGGTACACAGACCCGGGTTGACATTTCAGCCCCTTACTTAAGTGTGTCCCTTGAACCCATTATCCAGCCCTTCTAAGTTTGTAAGCTGAAGATGATGGTTAATGGGGCTTTGGAATCTCTAGGGATCCTTGTGATCCTTTAGGCTAAGTGGCAGTGGCAGAGATTACAGTTCTGCCTCATGAGCAGTATAAATGGGCTCTACACTCTGAAGACAGAAGCTGTGATCCCTGCTCTTCTGACTTAAATAGGCCCTTAGTCTGCTGGTGAAAATCAGCACGGGGTTCTTCTAAAGGACTGATGATACACTTGTGGTTTGTCACTCAATCTGAAGATGGGGGACTGGACACATGGGTGCCCCCCCCCCCACATGTGGCTTGAGGAAACACAGCTAGTGTGGTATAGACTTACTTCCTTCTCTAGCTTCTGGCCAGCTGGATGCTTTTTTCATGGGTATCTGACACATAGACCACTGCACTTCTAACCCGAAAGAGGGGGCCAGATCCATGCAGCTTATACCGAGAGAAGGTGGTGCCTTCTCTGTGTGGGCAGTTTGTGGAGGCGGGCTAGCTATTTCCTAAAGGAAAATGGGTTCAGTGACAGGTGTCTGTGCTACTTTTCTAGTCCAGGTGCTCTGCTAGGGCCTGGCAGTCTGCATCATGAGCACTTAGGCCAAGGGAGGCACTGTGCCATGACTGCCATTCTCTGCAGCCTAGAACCCACCACATATCAACCTAACACCCACATCATGGATTTTATAACAGCCTGGAAATCCTGGGGAAATAATACACACTAGTGAGTTTAGCTTTTGCTGTGGAAATGTTCACTTTTCCAAGGGGACGTGTCCACCTGAAAAGCAGGACTGGAGTGGTAAAACTGAGCCAAGGTCAGCTAGGTCTGTAAAGAACTGACCCTTCTTTTTTTTTCCTTATTTATTTATCTATCTATCTATCTATCTATCTATCTATCTATTTATTTATTTACTTTAATATTAGTTACAGAGAACTGACCCTTCTAAGGGGTGAAGAGCTGCAGGCCGGGTCCAGCTTTAGGATCTAGATATCTGAGGACTGAGGGGGTGAGCTTAAGGTACTAGCGAGTGCAGGCCTTGAAGGAGGGAGAGCCTTCGTGCTGACAGTTCCCACACGAAGTACTGTTCTCTGGATGGGTAAGGCAAGTCTTCTAAAGGTCCTTTTTTATTTAGTAAGAAAGGAGAAGTGTGCTGGATATAGGAGAGCCAGGAAAGGAAAACATCCCTTTGCCCTCAGAAAAGCTGAGTGAGACAGGTCTTCATATTTAGCCTGTGGGAAAGGTTGAAGCTTTAAAATCAAAGATGAACCAAACTGCAAATTACTGCTCGTCAGCTAACAAAAGTGTTGCCTGTACACCTGTTTTATTAATTGGGCAATCAGAACTGTTTGGCAGGCCTTTATGCTCTGGGCCCTGCTCCCATTCTGCCTCTGGTAGCCTTCTCCAACCCTGCCAACTGGGCTGGGTTCCTAGTCCCAGTTTCAGTGGCCCCTAGGGTGTGTTCATTGCCCATCACTCTGTCACCTGGGTTCTCCTCATTTGGCTGCGTTCTCACCATGGCGGCTCAGCTCATCACCTAGCTGTCTGTAGTTGACGGGCTCTGCGGACCTCAGGTATGCCTGGTTTTCTCCTGCCTTTCTCTCCAGGAGCTCTATTCCAATTCTTGCACCTTGGATTCCAGCGCACTCTATGAAAGTTTTACTGCTATCTCTGAGTCAGGCTCAAAGACCTCTCACCAGCTTGTACGTATTTCTGTGGCTCTGTGCCCATTGCTGGGCTCTCCCATTGGCTCCATTTGCTCTGCTGTAGCCTCATAGCTTCTGGCTGGGATTTTTCCTCTCTCAGTCCCTAGTCCTTCAAAATGTCTGCAGACAGTTGTTAGCCCAAAAGGTCACCATCCCCCACTGGGTCGCAGACACAGAGGTTCTTAGTCCTGAGTCTGAGGAGTAGGTTCAGGTCTCTCCTCTGCAGCAGCATGTCTCCCAGTCTCTGACTCTTCTGGATTCATCTCTATACTCTGCCTATGCAGGCAGTGGGGGTAGGGAGGACTGACATAGATTCCATAGTCTTCTACTGTCTTTACACCTCTCTTTACCAGGCACATCCTGTGGCTCCCTTCCTGCATACTGTGCATTCCAGGTACACTGGCATGCACCCTGTCTGTCCCAGTCTCTTCTGTCATGTGGTTTTCTGTCAAAGGGCCCTTCACTTCTTCCAGGGCCTCTTGTCCCAGGCAGGCCTTGAACTTGGGATCTTCCTCCCTCAACTTCCCAGAGAGCTGAAATTACAGATCTGTGTAGTCAGGCCTAGTTCCTTATATTGTTCTTATCTGTGGTTCAGCTCAGATGCTGCCTTTCCCAGGAAGCCTCCCTCCTCTCTCCAGGTGTCTATACTGCCTGACCTCACAAAGGGAGCTGGCTTACTGCTCCCTGCAGAATACATAAACAATGTTTTGCTTTCCTCATCCTGTGTCCTGTCAGCCATCTCTGTACCCAGTGTAGGGTCAGCCTGCTGTGGACTCTGAGGCATCAGCTGCCCGATTGAGCTAAGCCCATTCCAGACTTGTTCTCACTTAACCATTACAGCAGTCCTGCCACTCTGCTGTTACTATCCAAACTTTCTAAAGGGGGAAGGAAACTAAAGCCGAGAGAGATGAAGTGCCAGGCCACACAGTCAGCAAGTGGCCTGAGCTCCAGTCCTGGTTTTGCCTTTAAACCTGTTACAGGCCACAAGTGAACAGGCTGGACATAACCCTCAAAATAGCATGTGAAGCCATTGGGGCCTATAAGCTTCTGAAGATGCCACCAATTCTAAAATGGTACTTGTTTTATTTCACTCAGGGATGTTTTATGAAGACCAGGCAGGGAGTGGGGTGGAGGCAGCCAGAAAGAGTTTATCAACCCAGGTGGCACTGGATTCTGGGAGCTGGCATTTCAGGGTCGCTCATCTGAGTAAGTGGAACCCTAGGGTGTTAGAAAGGTAGCACCATTGCTCATTTGCAGTTCTCTCTCTTATTTTTTTTTTCTTGAGATAGACTTTCACTCTATCAAGGCCAGCCTCCTGAGTGCTGGGATTATATGCTTGCACATCCATACCTGGCATCTGTATTTCTTTTTAACCCTACAAATGCTTTTGGGGTAAAGCCTGTTAGTCAGTCTTGAGGTATCCACTATGGAGATGAAGCCGTCCTGTTTGAGGGCATCTGATGCAGCAGAAGGAAGGGTTGACGAGACTGAGAAGTAACCTAAATGCTCAGCAAAAGGGTTAATGTGATTCAGAGATGAGGGATTTTTACTGTTGAGGTTGGGAGATGGAGAAGCCCTCACCCCTCCCAGTTGTAGGACAGTTCCCAAATGTTGGCTTCCTGACTCGCTTTGTAGGGACTTGTTCTAAGCCTGGGTGTTTTACAGCCTCCCTGCCAGGAGTTTCTGGGGGCCCTTGAAGCAGGTGATGTTAGGCTCTGCTGCCAGCTGTAGCAGCTTCTGTAAACAGGGGAGGGAAGCTAGGGGCTGCCAGGATCTATCTCCCTTGTGAGGGGCTGTTTGGGCAGCTGCAGCCCCTCACTGGTGACAGGGTGGTTGAGCAGACAACAAGGGTCTCTTGGACCCTTTGCTTGGGTGGTTGTTTAGGTTTTACTGCAAGTCTGTTTTGTAGCTTAGGAAGCAGACATTCAAAACAGTGATACTTTACCCATGGAAGCATGGTTGACATTGGCTCTTAGCTGAGGTCTGAGCAGGGTGTAGAAAATCAGTTTGTATCAGGGACATGCATTGCCGGGGAGAAGAAAAAACAGAGCTGAGCTGAAGGACATAATCTTCAGAAAATATTTCCAAGTTCTTGTCCTGACTGGTGAGGAATATGTGATGTGGGGAACAGAGGATGGAGTGGGGCTCTGTGAGACTCATTTGATCATTTCAAGCACTGGGTTGGTAATGGATGGAGTCTTTCTAAAACAAGTGAAATAAATACTCAGAGACCATAATCCAAAGTCAGACAATAGTCAAAAAAAACCATGGATTTGAATATTAATAGCCAAAGGGGTCTTCATAGAGAGTCTGCGGTGGTTTTCTTCTTTACATTTAGTTATTTGTGTGCGGAGACACACGTGGTGTGGCATACATGTAGAGATCAAAGGAACAGCTTTCAGGAGTTGGTTTTCTCCTTCTACCATATGAGTTCTGGGGATTGAGTACAAGTCATCTGGCTTGTTAGCAAGTGGCTTTGCTAGCTGAACCATCTTGCCATCCCCAAGAGTCAGAAAATTGAAGCCTGAGTGGAAAGGCAGTTGATGGAGATTCCAGTGTGTTGGTCCAAGAAAGCAGTCATCTTTCTTGTTCAAACTGAACCTGGAAGGTGGGGCTTAGTGATGGCATGGAAATGAAATGACAAGTTTGCCAGTGTGGATTAGGTTGGCTGGAAGACAGTGGTGAGTGCTGGTTAGCTGGACCAAGCCAGGACTTGTAAGGTATGGGTGCCTGGGGTGGAAAAGAGCTGGTGGTGAGGGGAGGCCATCCTGCTGAAGAAGGGAGTGTCTTTGTGGATGGGATTTAGAGTTCCTTACTTTTCCTTTTGCCTCATCTCATAGGTAATTGCTGTGGTAATGGACGTTTTCTCAGATGTCGACATCTTCCGAGACCTGCAGGAGATCTGTAGGAAACGAGGCGTGGCTGTGTACATCCTTCTGGACCAGGCTCTGCTCTCCCACTTTTTGGATATGTGCATGGATCTGAAAGTTCATCCTGAGCAGGAAAAGGTTTGTGGGACACCATTTCCAGTTTTCCCACTGTCAGCATGCGGCAGGGCACCCATGATCTACAGCGTGGTGGTGGGCTCCCCACTGACAAGCGAGGAAACTGAAGTCTCACAGGCAATGAACACCACTCGTGACCTCCAGTTCCATTCCTAGCTAACTCCCCAAGAGGAATGAAAGCGCGCTCCTGTTTATAGACGTGGCAAGTTTCATCAGCTAATAAGTGGATAAACAATACAGTGGCTCTTCAGGACAATAGAATATTATTTACCCTTCAAAAGGACTGAAGTACTGACACAAGCTGTCACATGAGTGACCCTGAAAACATAACAAGTATAGGAAGCCTTACATAAATGGCCATATGCAGAGTGATCCTATGTACGTGAAATACCAGAACAGATGGAAGGTAGATGAGCGTCAGGTTTGTGGACATTGATAGAGGGATAGGTAAGCTTGTAACTAAAGGGCTTTAGGCCCCTTTTTATTTTTTTATTTTTATTTTGGACGTAATGAGAAAGTTCTACAACTGTGTGGAAATGGTTCTATGTTTTCTTTTGGGGGGGTTCTTTTTTTATGTAATAGTTTTATTTAATTTTTACTAATTACAGTTTATTCACTTTGTATCTCAGCTGTAGCTTCCTCCCCCATCCCCTCCCAATTCCGCCCTCCCTCCCTCCTCTTCTTCTATGCCCCTCCCCCAGTCCAATGATAGGTTAGGTCCTTCTTCCCTTCCATCTGACCCTAGTCTATCAGGTGTCATCAGGACTGGCTTCTTCATCTGTGGACTGGTAAGGCTGCTCCTCCATCAAGTGGAGGTGATCAAAGAACCAGCCCATGAGTTCATGTCACAGACAGTCCCTCTCTGTGTTTTCTTAAAAACTACAGATTTGCACACTAAGCAGGTGAATTATATGGTATATGAATTACATCTCCATTAAGCCATCAAATAGAAAGGGCAAAATGGCTATCGGGCTTCCCAGCAATGAGTGTAGACCAGCCTGTAGGCAAGCCTTGGAGGCTACTGCCACCATGGCTCCAGGTGGCTCCACTTTTAGCCACAGTGGCCATTTTGGAGCTCTTGTTTTGTCCCCGGTACTGCTCACTGCTCTGACAGATGTGACATCGCTAACACTGATGGTTGCCCTGTCAGGTTAGTGGTCCTGATGCTTTGGATCAGGAAATGGTGAGATCGAGAGCCCAGGAGTCCACAGCTACAACATGGCTCAGGCTTTGACTCAGTCTGTCTTCCTGTCACCCCATGTGTGCAGTCACTGTCACCCACTGCTGACTACTTCTCATGACAGAACCAGACTTTATGTCTTTTTCTCTGGGCATGAAAAATAATTCAAGTATCTTGATAGAAAGCCACAGAGTTGGCTTAGTCTCTTTGGGAATGAGGTAAGAGATACATTTGTTACAGAATTCATGTTTTAAATAATGGAGCAACTTGTGAAATCAGACCCTCATGCTGCCAGGTACTTGGTGTGAGGAATGATATGTTCATCAGGAGTTAGGCGTTCTGCCACTCTGGGCTTCTGCATGAGACTCTGACTTAGTGCCTGACAGGCAGTGTGGTTTACAAAGTTTCATCCCATCACCTCTCCGTCAGAGTGCCTGCTGGCTGTTTTACTAATGAGCAAACCAAGGATGGGGCTAAATTAGGAGATTACCAGCTTGTCAATTTGTGCCACAAGACAAATTCATGATAGAAGTAGGATTAGGGCTTCCAGACTGAAATGAAACAGCATGTGATCCAGCAGTCAATGAGACCAGGAAGACTCCAGGAAAATGCCACTTGGGCATGGTAACAAGCACTGCCATCAAGCTAGGTATCTAGGCCACAGCTGCTCTTGTGGACTTGCGGAAGGTGTTGGGGTATAATTTCAAAGTGCTCTTGGGTAATTAGGCTGAGCCTCAGCAGCAGAAATGACAGAACTGTGACAAAGCCATTCATTCTGCTTCGCCAACAAAGCAGAGACCCAGGAGTAACTACTTCATGGTGGTCCAGAGCCTCTGCAGGAAGTTTAAAGATAGTTTGTCTTTATAGGTTATCTTTTTCCTAGATAGGTACTAACTTCTCTTCTGTCCTGTCTGTGTTATAGGTCTGTGCTCAGAGGCATTCCCTGCCCTGGGCTCTGATTGGTTCGGAATATTGAGTCACCCTGTCTATAATAAGAATGTGGCTGCATGTTCATGGGCAGGTGCACAGAATTGCTGTGTCCACAGGTACAGCCGCCACAACGTTCAGATATTTTTTAAAGGAAAGGACACAGCCATCCCTAACCCTACATGTAGGGTGCTTTTATGCTTACTATGTGTTGATGTGTTTGGGAGTTATCGCCTCCTCCATCCATCCAGTTCCGGATGCTCATTTGTGAAATATACCAGTTTTTAAAAGAAAAACCTGACCTTGAAATTAAGATTTATAAAGGGTTGCAGAAATGAATACCTAAGTTTGGTTCCTAATACTCAAGTTCAGTGACTCACAAGCACTTGTAATTCTAGTCAGAGTGTTTGACACAATCTTGTGCACATACCCGCACACAAACACTCATAATTTTAAAAAAAAAATTAAATAATTTTTAAAAGATTTAAAAATAAGTTTCCAAGGAGTTCCTTAATGTTCTGTATATATTCTTCAAATGTTACTATTTCACTGTCTTCACTACACATAACAAAATCAGCTTGGAATAGCACTTATCTCCACACCTTATAAACCACCCTTGTTTCACAGCTGTCCCTCCTCTAGCCCAGGATGGACCCTAACAGGACACCTTGCATTTACTAGTGAAGTCTCCCTGCTCCAATAACCTCCGTCTTTGTGGTTTGGCACCTGACACTTTTGGAGAACACTAGCTATTGTTCTGTAAATTTGTATTCATCTGATGCTCCCTGAGGTTCAGGTCCTGTGCATTTTGATAAGAATACCAGAGACATGATCTTGTGTCCAGATGTTAGGTTTTAGTTTTACATCTTATTTTCCAATGGTGGCAGATGCTGCAGAACTGCAGACAGCACAGAGAAGTACCACGTGTGTTTTACCTGGTTTCCCAATAGTTTTGCTTGTTGCACTATATTGTGGTCCAGAATTGGGGACGGAAGTAGACCCTCATGTACTTGTGCCTTTTGTTGCCCGTGCACATCAAGACAGAACCATTGGTGCACCTTTAATCTCAGCCCTCGGTGGCAGAGACAGGTGGATCTGTAAGTTTAAGATCAGCCAGGGCTACATGGAGAGATCTTGTCTCAAAAGGAAGGGAGGGAGGGAGGGAGGAAAGGAAGGAAGGAAGGAAGGAAGGAAGGAAGGAAGGAAGGAAGGAAGGAAGGAAGGAAGGAAGGAAAACTACTTTGTCATCACAAAGATCGCCCTCAGACTTCATTTCAGTAGTCGTTACTCCTGTCTGTGCTGTCCCATCACTTCCTATATGCATGTGTCCTTTGAGACTGGCTTTTATCACTTGACTCAGTGTTTTTGAGGATCATGTAAGTTACATGTTTCAAAAGCTTGTTCCATTTTACTGTGTTTGTTTTCTTGTTGAGTGTCATAGGGCATGGTTGTGCCATAGTCAAACTAGTTTCTAGGCTCTGACTATTAGGAAGAGTTGCTGTAACTGTTCGCCTTGAGACTCGGCAGTCATGGGTCTCCCTCCGCTTCATGTGGTGGCTTGCTTAGGTTTTCAGTTATCAGTTACTTCTTCCTCTTGTTTTTGAGGGCAAGAAATAGACCTTGCACCTCTGTTATTTAGCATCGTGCATAGGAGAGGCCCTCTGTATTTATAGAGTGAATAAAAAGTCAAATGATCCTAAACATGTACTTGAATTTTTAAAAATTATTATTACTGTTGTGTGTGTGATGTGTATGTGCATTCACATGAGGTTAGAGGACAACTTTGTGAGTCAAGTCTCTCCTTCCATCTTTATGTGAGTTCCAAGATTAAATTTAGGTTATCAGGCTTGCATGGCAAGCATTTTAAGACTTATAATGACATGTAACTTCTATTCTGCTCTAGATTGTCTATACATTTTTCATACCATTATGTATGCATTTGTGTGTGTCATCTTTATGGGAGTAATTGTGCATCTGTGAGTATATAGTGTAGCTTCTTGGTTAGCGTGTACCTATAGGAGATGTGAATTGGCTGATTAATTTCCACATGGTGTGTTAGAAGCTTGCCCTCTGATTACAGCTTCAAATCCCTTTCAATGTGGAGGTAAGTGAAGTAGGCTATTATTCCTGACGGATGCAGTAAAACAAAGAAATAGGAGCAAAGCCATCTTAGTCTTTCTGTCCTTGTAAAATGGTATTCATTATTAACATGTTTTCTTTGATTATTTTATCTCCCATGTTTTGTTTCAAAATTATTTATTAGATTCTATTAGTTTCCTCCAAAAAGCAACTATTTCTTTACAGTATATTACACATACACACATGAACTAAGGGACTCTAAATATAAGCCAAATGTAGTGGTGCAGGCCTGTAATCCCAGCACTTGCGAGGCTGGGGCTACAGGATTACAAGACCAAGGCCAACCTGGACTATAAGAAAAGTAAAACCTCTTCTCTACATATGAAAAAATGGACTAGATGCAAAAGTGACATTATCTGAGCAATATCTGGCGAGAGTGTCCTGTGCACTGTCACTAAATGGTGACCATACCCTAAGCCACTGCAAACAGCTATGTTTGGCCACAGTAAGCTCAGCCCACTAGGTAGTGTCACTGAGTTGGTCATTGATTTTTTGTTTTTTTTCTCCCTCTCCCTCCCTAACAGCTGATGACAGTTCGGACTATTACAGGAAATATCTACTATGCAAGGTCAGGAACAAAGGTTGTTGGGAAGGTTCATGAGAAGTTCACACTGATTGACGGCATTCGGGTGGCAACAGGCTCTTACAGGTATGTTCTGAACAGGTACCTCAGCAGTTAGTGCAAACCCTTCAGAGGGGTGAGTGCTTGCCCTGCCAGGAAGAGCCTTGTGACAGGGCCCCCATGTGTGTACACCGTGTGTATGACTTCATCAAAGCCCTCTTGCTGGATGTAGATAGTCCAAGAGTCACTTCTTACTCCCTGGGTCCACAAAACTAAAGCACAAGTTAAACTAAGCTTGAGACCCTGCAGTCAGAGTCCTGCATTCAAGTCTTGGCCTAGGCCTTTGGGGGAAAACTTCTGGCTAATTGGCCTCAAATCCTGGGGACCCACCCACCCTGATTACTTGAAGATAAGGACATTTGCAAATGTTATATGCAGACTGAAGCTGCTCATTTATACTTAACTGTCAGGTTGCTATAAGCCTTAAAATTAGTGCTTTAGTCTAGAAAGCACTGGGTATATACCAGGCCCATCTTGGAAGTCTACTTTGCCAATAGCATCTTTGGGTGGAGAGCAGGAAGATGAGTGAAGGGCTGAGGTCACATGGGTAATGCTGATCTCTGGAAGTTGTGCCACTCTTACTCACACTATGTCATGTTGTGTGCTTGGCTATCTCTGTACATTGTCCAGTGGTACATGTGAGGTATAGATTTTGGAAAGAAAAACTTGGATTTTGTAGTGTGCATCCCTTAGTGATGGTTTTGTGCCAGCTGTGGTTTTATGGCAGGTGAGGTAGTGAGATAAGTAGCTCTAGGTACCTTCCTTTCCGAACAATAATGTCATTGTTCAGAACTGAGCACGTGTTCTTGAGACTTCCTTCTATGAGGTACTTATATATACCAGTGGGACTTAGACTGTCTCCCAAGGTGGATTTACCTATATCGATGAAACTTCGCTCTGAATGGCGTTTGCTGTTTGAAAATCTATAAATATAAAAACTGCCCTCTATAAAGCACTGTCCCACCACCAATGACAGTACTACTCCCACATGTTGAAACACAATACAGCCTTGGGTGCAGGTAGCCCCTTTTGTTTCTGTTGCACCATTGTAGGTATTCCAAATACTGCTGGGCTCCAAAGCAGTTCTCAGGCAACATGTGTATTAGTCATGGTTCTCGTTTGTTTGTTTGTTTGTTGTTTTGAGACAGGGTTTCTCTGTCTAGCTCTGCCTGTCCTGGAATTCGCTCTGAAGTCCAAGCTGGCCTTGAGTGCACAAAGATCTGCCTGCCTCTGCCTCCTAAGTGTTAGGATTAAAGTTGTTCGCCACCTACCACCAGTAGTCTTGGTTCTTAGTTGCAAGATATAGTTAAAAATTAGTTTCAGGGTCTCCCATTAAAGCTGCCTGCTTCTGGTCCAAAGCTCAGTGTCAGGAGTCTAACCCAGACAGCACAGAGTGAGGCAGCAGCTCAGAGAGTGCTACGATGGAAAGATGCAGCTGATTATAGCTGCCCTGGGACTGGGTGTGTCGAGGTGTTTATTAGAACAATAGCTCCTACTTTTGCCTTGCTCTTTATTCTCAGATAGCCTCTTCCTTTGAAGGCAAAGACTTCTGCTTGCTCACACAACCATCAGCAGCTGTTTCCCAAAGGGAGAGACTCCTGAAGCAGAGACACACATTTCTGAAAACTTATGTGGCTCTGCTGGGGTCATGTGTGTACATTGGATGAATCCCAGGGATCAGACACTGGCCATTCTGTACAATATGCCCACCCCACTGAGACTAGAGAAGGTGTGTCTATGCAAGCCTTTGTGAGTAGAGACAGCTGTAGGTTCTATTTCCAGAGGAAGAGGAGGGGATGCCAGACAGGCAAGGACAGCAATCTAATCAACTGTAAGATGTGCCGAGCACTGGCATCACTGGTGGAGTAACCATCTCCACTTGAGAAACTGGAAGAGGTGCTTTCCACTGGGGCATCTCCAGCTGATTCTCTAACCTTTGAGACGAGGTCGCTGGCCTAAATATTTAATACCTTCTTGCTAGGGTTTAGCACTGAGCATAAGGATTGTAATTTTGTGTGTGTCCCATTACCCTCCGATGTCTTTGTTATTTGTTATTTCATGTTAGCACCAAAGTTGTCACTCTTACATGGTAGCTACTGAGAGTAAGTAAACTGAGATTCCTTATCTTTACCAGTTTGTGTTTTTTTTTTAATCCTTCAGTTTTACTTGGACCGATGGCAAGTTAAATAGTAGTAACTTGGTAATTCTGTCTGGCCAAGTAGTCGAACATTTTGATCTAGAGTTTCGGATCCTGTACGCCCAGTCAAAGCCCATCAGCTCCAAACTCCTGTCCAACTTCCAGATCAGAGGCAAGTTTGACCATCTGACTGACCAAAAGCCACAATCAAAGGAGCCCACCCTGGGCAATCTGCTGCGCATCAGGCTGGCCAGACTCTCAAGCACTCCTAAGAAGACCAACCTGGGCCCAGAGGTGCCACCAAAGGACAGAGCCAAGCGCCATGACTCTGAGACTTCCACTATCAGTGATGAGGACTATCTGTACAGCCACAAGGACCAGCTAGAGGATAGCAAGGTGGTTGATGCTGCTACTCAAACAGAGCCAGGAGAAGAGATGGCTGCAGTAAGCCTGAGTGAGGTGGGAACACAGACCAGTTCCAGCATAGCGTGTGTTGGGACCCAAACCACAGTTGTCACAAGGGCAGTGAGCTCCCAGGCCACAGTGTGGTCCAAGTCCAGTACCACACAGACTGAAGCTGATGAGAGCTTCCTTCCTCAGGGTGCCCAGTCTAAAGAAGGGTCACCTGCATCCAAGATGTCGGTGTCGAGATCTTCTAGTTTGAGGTCATCCTCTTCTATGTCTTCTCAGGGCTCGTTGGCAAGCTCTGTCAGCTCGCATGCTTCCCTGACAGCCACTGACCTCCACACCCCCGGATACCCGAAGTACCTGGGTCTGGGCACCCCCCATCTGGATCTGTGCCTGGGGGACTCATTCAGAAACTTGAGTAAAGAGCGGCAGGTCCATTTTACTGGCATCAGGTCCAGGCTCACCCAGATGCTGACAGTGCTCTCAAGGAGAACACTCTTCACAGAACACTACCTCAGCTACAGTCCCGGAAGGTTTACCAGAGCTTCCATGAACCTGGTTTCTGTGAGGGACATAGCACTTTATCCTCCCTATCAGTGACTACTGGGTCCAGCCAGTCCTTCCTCCCGAGGCCAACAGAGCCTCACATGTCCTCAGCTACCCTCTTCCACCTGACACTGAGTCACCTTCGAGTTTCAGCCGACACATTCTTTGATATTTTCATTTTTGTTCTTTAGAAACCACCTGTTGGTTTAAACACTATGGGGACTGTTTTTTTTTTTCCTTTGCACAATCTTAATATTATATCACTACAGAGGTATTTTAGGTTAGTTTGAGAGATAACTTTTTTTGTATGTGTTATTCTGTCTTAGTGCTTTGGGTCAGCATTGTTTTTAGAATCAAAATTATATTTAAAAGTTAAACAACACTATTTCTTAGCTGACTTCCTCTTGAATAGCCTTGTTCCTGGCATCAAATAAATATAGACAACTTTTCGTTTGCCTGGGTTGTTTTTTGTTTTTTTTGGTTTTTTTTGTTTTTTATCTTTAAGGATATGTCATAAATAAATGCATTATACAGGTACTTGTGTGATTCTTTCTTTGTTTCTTTCTTTGTTTCTTTCTTTCTTTCTTTCTTTCTTTCTTTCTTTCTTTCTTTCTTTCTTTCTTTCTTTCTTTCTTTTCTTTCTTCTTTCTTTCCTTTCTTTCACAGTCTTGGGAAGTAAATGATCCAGGTTGTAAAGGGGGCAATATATTCATTTAAGAGTTAGAAGAAGCCAAGTGACGGTGCACACCTTTAATCCCAGCACTTGGGAGGCAGAGGCCAGCGGATCTTTGAGTTCGAGGCCAGCCTGGTCTTCAGAGTGAATTTCAGGACAGTCAGGGCTATATAGAGAGACCCTGTCTCAAAAAAAAAACAAAACAAAACAAAACAAAAAGCTAGAAGAAAGTGAAGTGTGGTTGTACATGGCTCTCATCACACTAGGTCAAGACAAAAAGGTCTGAGTTTGAGGCCAGCCTGATCTATCCCGGAAGACCCTGGCTACAAAACGAAGCATAGAAAAGTAAAATGACTTTGAGTCGGTATTGGGGTCAAACCGTCTTTGGCATGGTAAAAACTGACATTCCCATGCACCTGAGGGATACTGCGATCATGGCAGGCCTTTGTGTGTTCAACTGCTTTTATGTTTTCAAAAAGAAAGCTTGAGTTGCTTCAGTGAGGACCTGGGCTATCTGCCAAAGGAGTCCTGGGTGTGTATTCCTGGGTTCACATTCCCTCTAGTGGCCCCAATGGGTTCAATTTCATCAGCTGGGTGTATTGACAATGATTTAGCAATTCCATATCCCAGAGTAGGGGCAAGAAAGGGCACTGACAATTATCCCAGATTCCTGGTCCAGTGTCAGGCAATGTAATTGGTTCCTATATCCTGCTAATCAGGATTGGTATGGCTGTGGAATCCTGGTTTTTCAAGTCTCATTCCCAAAAAACAGACAAAAGGAAGAGTGTTTTAAACCATGGCTTCCTCCTCCTGGCTTGCTAGCCCAGAAGTCTACAATAAGTAAGGGGTTGTCTGCAGGGAGAATGCTGATGCAAGCACATCAGGAATGTCCCTGCAGATATTCCTCAGTGCTGCAGGACTCCTCTCACGACAAGGCTATCCACAGGGTCAGTGCTGTGGTCTGTGGCTGTCAGGCACACGTTAGGGCGCTGGCGCAGGCCTGGCTGTGAGCCACCGCTCTGGGCTAATCTGTGAGCACAGGTCTGCAGACTCAGGTCACTTCATGTGTGGCCTTAAGTCCTGGACAGCTGGCTCTCCCATTTTCAGGTATAGAAACAAGCTGAAATTGAATGGCCTATGACGTAAGAACTTAAAGACAAGTCTAGATCCTCTGTTGTGTGACTGTTTTCTTTGCAGTATAAAGACCTTGGGGCCTAAAAATAGGCACAAAGCCCTAATTGCCATCGTGCATTTAAATTCCATTGACATTTTAAGTCTACATTCTACAAGATTGTTAATAGACTGTCATTTAAAATGTTATAGGCTTGGAGTTGGCTCATTTGGTAAAGTGCTGTATGAGCATGAGGACTTGTATAAAAAAGTCAGGCATGGCGGCATGCACCAGAATTCCAGTGCTGGGAGGTGGAAACGGGGAGGATCCCTGGGGCTTGCTGGCCAGCAGGTCTAGCCGTAGTCAGCTTGTCCAGTATCTACAATGAGGTGCATGGAACTGGCAAGAAGGCTCCTTGGGTAACAGCACTTGCTGCTAAGCCTGACGACCTGAGTTTGATCCCTGGGACCCATGTGGTGGGAGGAGGCAACCGACTCCTGCAAGGTGTCTGATTTCCACACGTGTGCCGTGGCATATGTGTACACACACGTCAAAAATACAAAAGTTTTTAAATAGACAGTGAGGTTATCTGACCTTGACCCCTACCCCACCCCCATGGATGTATATACAAGCAGTACTGCACACATGAACAGGCACACACACTATGTAAGCACAAGAGAAGCTTAGCTGCTCAGCTGCTTGCTTTGCAACCACTAGGACCTGATTTCAACCCCAAACCCACACAAGTGTCAGGACTGGGCTCATGAAATCCCTGTGCTAGGGAGACAGGTGGGTCCTGGGGCTTCCTGCCTGCCCAGTCTAACCTCCTGGATGAATTCCTTTTTTTTTTTTTTTTTGAGACAGAAAAATAGAAGGCTTCTGAGGACCAGCAGTTAAGGTGGTTCTCTGGCTTCCATGCATACATGTACACACCCAGCTAAACACAAATGCACCTACACACACACGTTTTTTAAAAAAATTCTAAACCGGTAAATCAAAGTTTTTTATCCAGACCACCCATGTGAAGAGACAGCGTATTTGGATGGGGAGCACGTGGCCTGTCACACACTTGACCACACTGTCCTCTCTCTGCGGGCAGGAATCAATCATTGTTCTCTGAAAGCGCTGTCAACAGTTAGAAATAGGAATCAGATGGATGGAATCCTAAGGAAATCATCCAGTCTCAGGATGAACTTCAGTCTGCAAAGTACCACTAAAGCTACCTGTGTCAGTCTCCTGGTGTGCTTAGGGATGGCTGTAGTTCACAGATGTAGCATCTCTCCATCTGTCTGATGTTATACTCAGCCACTACAGACTGAGCTGTAAATATTCAGGATGTATTGCAATCTTTCCCCAGTGCTAGGATCAAACCAGAGGTCACAGGTGCCAGGTAAATGGTCTACCACTGAGCTACTTTTTCAGCTCTAAAACAAGACAAAAACTGGGCCAGAGAGATGACTCAGAGGTTAGAGTAATAGCTTTTAGAGGACCCAGATTTGCTGCCACATTGTGGTTCACGACCATCCTTAACTCTAGTTTCAGGGAACCCAATGTCTCTTGATCTTTATAGGTGCCTATGTGGTACATGTAATACCTTTAAAAGACATAACCATAGTACAGCTGTGATACTCTAATAAAATTTTCTCTGTCATCAAATAGTCCGTGCTTATATACAGTATAATCTCTTTTCCTCACTAATGATTTGAGTTAGAGTTCCATATGGTTTTTAGACCCAATCTGCAGGGTTGATAGCCTCTCATAAAACAAGAAACCCACTGAGATGGCTCCCCCACCCTTGTGGGCAGTGCATGCTGTCAGAGACTTGCTTTTTACTGAAGAGACAAAGTAACTAACAAAACCAAGGCCATGTGGGTAAGATGGCTCAGTGGATAAAGGAACTTGCTGCCCAGCCTGACTATGTGAGTTTGATTCCAAGGACCCACCGACTCCCACAGCTTGTCCTCCAACATCTATGAGAATGCCATAGTACATTCACCGTGGCACAAACATGCTTGCCCCCAGTAAATAAACAAAGAAATGTAATTTAAAAAAATTAGAGCCTAAGCTACAGGCTCTTGTAATCCAAAAGTTTCATGAAAGAGTCAAGGTTAGGGGATACAACATAGAGTCATGCAGGAAGCTAAGAGTGCATTCTAGGACATGCAAGATTCATGTAGGACAACATGCAAATTTAAAATTTCCAGTAGCCAAGATGAAGGAACCTGGTTTAGAGACACCACTCAATGCCCACAAGATGAAGAAAACAATTATTCCTGCTGCTAAGGGAACACATGAATCCCTTACAAGGATCTACTCATTGAAACATTGCTGTGGACGGCTGGTGATGTTCAGTTGGTAGAGCATTTGCCTAACACATAAAAACCTGGGTTTGATACCCGGCACTGGAAATCCAGTGGGGGTGGTGCACACTTATCATCCTGGCACTTGGAGGTAGGGGAAGGAGAATAATGAGTTCCTGTCTCAAAAAAAAAAAAAAAGAAAAGTTAATTCTGAACTCCAAAAGGGTAATTTTTTAAGTCATCAGGTGAATGGATCCTGAAGGGTTCTTTATGAATGTACTTTATTCTGATGCATTCAGGGAAACCTGGTTTCACTGGGCTACAAACCTAGATAGGTGCCCCAGTTTACCTGGCACTGCCTGTTTGCCTCTTATCCCCAGGTCCATCTCTCTAACACTCCCTTTTAGAAGTGTCCCAGTTTTGAGACTAGCCAGAAAATATCTTGCAGGCCTAAAGAGGCCTTCCAACCGATCCAGCTCCCCAGAATCACAGGCTCCTGAAGCCATCGTGTTTTAGGGTCTCTATTGCTGTGATGAAACATAACCAAAGCAACTTGGAGAGGAAAGGGTCTATTTGGCTTACACTTCCATATCACTGTTCATTATCAAAGGAAGTCAGGACAGGAACTCAAACGGCAGGAACCTGGAGGCAGGAGCTGATGCAGAGGTCATGGAGGGCCACTGCTTTCTGGTTTGTCCCTCCTGGCTTGCCCAGCCTGCTTTCTTATAGAACCCACAATCACCCCCTCCAGGAGTGGCAATACCATAATGGGCTGGGCCCTCCCCATCAATCAGTAGTTAAGAAAATACTTTACAGCTGGATCTTATTGAGGGATGTTTTTTCTTGATTGAAGTTCCCTCTCTAGCTTGTGTTAAAATGGACACCAGACTAGCCAGCACACTGCACAGAAACAGAACAGTCTCCTGTTGCTGAGTTCCTTTCCTGTGGTGATACAAATTTGAACATCTTCAATGGTGTGCCAAGCCAACAAACGGGCACATTTGCATACGGTGCCACAACAACAGAAGACCCACCTAAGTCTCTCAACAGGAAATCCTGGCTTGGCACAATTGTGTAAAAGATCTATAGAAGATCTCTTTAGTTTAGGGGAATTCTCTCTGGCTTGGTTTCTTGAGAAGCTCGTTGCTGTAGTGCAAGGCTGCATGGATGGATGTGGAAGGGAAAGATTATTTTGGCTTCATTCATTAATCCTTTGATAATCATGGCAGGACTTCTGTCTGAGGAGCCATCCTGTGCCCAGTGCTCTGTGTGGTTCTAGTGAGGCTGGCCATACCTGCCCCTGGAGATGAAACGTGATCTAGTCCTAAGCAAACCTCCTTCATAGTCTCAGGCCCCATACTTTGTTTCAGGGATCGATATACAGGCCATCTAGAGAGATTTTTTTTTTTTTGCCAGGAAATTTTCTTCTGAAATGTTTGATGCTTAGAAAGATTTTGGGCTTTGATTTGGCCATCTTGTCACCACATCACACCTGAGAAGGCAGCAGAACACAGCTAGGTCACATATGTCCTGATGCAGCCATGTCTTTAAGTCAGATACTCTTGGACTTTGTAATATCTATGAACTACTTTTATTCATGTATTCTGGTCTCATTCAGTAGCCCAGGCTGGCCTAAATCTCACTATGTAGCCCCACCTGGCCTTAACCTCTTAGGAATCCTCCTAAGTGCTAGAGTTACAGATGTGAGTGCCACGCCCAGCTGCGTGAACCATTTTTACTAAAGTGATGTTGAACTGGGTTTTCTATCACATGCATCCAGAACTGCTACAAAGGTTGAAACCCTTATGGCCCAGGATTCTCAAATACAGACAATACAGTAGATATTCAGAAGCATTTCAGAGCAGAGTACATTACTATCAGCACAGAAACACATCTTTCACATGCCGGTATATCAATGATTTTTTTTCTCATCAAATACTCAGTATTCAAATTCAGTCATTCATTCCCTTATGACAGTTTGGGTTAGAGATAAGTTTTAAGGTAGAGCTGGTCTGAAGGGTTGACGCTTTCTGTGAAACAAGAAATCTACTGAAGGAATGTCCACATGTGGGAATCACTATGTTTCTGGAAAAATATCACATCTGGAAGTTGCAAAATATACCTCTGTATGACAAAATGATCAAATTTTCGTAGAGTTTTTAGCAATGAACCAAGTGAGTTTTGGATGTTCTCTTAAGAAGCAGTCAATCCCACCAGGTATGGTGGTGCCTACCTGCTGTCCCAGCATTTGAGGAGTTAAGGCAGGAGGCTTATGATTTGGGGGGCCAGTCCAGGGTGCCTAATGAGAGCATGTCCTTTTTTTTTTTAAGTTTAATTTTTAGAGTAGCTCCTTCAGGCTGTTCTTCCTGAAAAGGTTAATCAGGAAGATTACTGAGACCAGTCCTATTTTGTAACAATAAAAACCACATTATCAGGCCAGATAGTATTACATAGCCGAAGTCTGTGGAAGCAAAACAATCCACCTGACGGGGCAGGGCAGTGGGACTCTGAGAGCATTCTGAGAGAGAGGAATCCACATCTAAGAGAGCTAAGGTCTAATGCTTCTAAATGGCCCCTCTGAGGCTGAAAAACACCTACCTGGCAACTAGGAAACCTGTGATCTGGTTCACGTCTGTAACCCCTAAGTAGTAAGGAAGCTGAGGCAGGCGTGCCATCCTGGACTACATAGTTCAAGACCATCCTGGACTACTTAGTGAGTTCCAACCAGGGCTTCAGAGTGAGCTTGGTCTCAATACTAACACACAAACACACTACACACTACACACACACACACATACACACTCAACACCACATCATGTTCACATACACACCACACATCACACCCCCCACACCCCCATAGTCCTCTACCACACCACATATACCCCCCCAACATCACATACACCACCACCCCACACACCCCACAACCTCCCTGCCTTCCCCCACATATTCCTCATTGATTCTGACCAAGTCCTTTTAATCTCCATGGACTTCAATTTTCCATGATAAGATTAGGCTAGGTGTTGACTAAATCCTCCCACTTCAAGACTGTGATGCAATAATCTGTGCCCCCTAATCTATTGTCCCTTTTCATAGAGGAAGATTTCTTAGGAAGTCATCAGTAAAACAAAGTCATGGAACTAAAGCTGGGTTTGGTGGTACACACCCATGGTCCTAGCTACTTGAGGAGGCTGATGCAGGATTGCTTGAGTTGCAGACTTGGTAGGCAGTATTTTAAGTTTGTGAAATATTTTATTATTTGTATGTGGGATGTGACACGTGTGCAAACACATGTACCACATGTAGGTACATGTGGTATGCAGGTCAGAGGACAAGTCTGTGGAGTTGGTGCTCTCCTGCCACCTTGATGCGGGTTCTGGGAATTGAGTTCAGGTTGTTAGGCTTACATGGCAGCATTTTCAACTAGCCGAGCTGTCTCATCTTCCCAGGAAGCAGTCCTTAAAAAAAACAAAGGGACAATCTCCCTGCATGGGGGGTGGGGAGTAAGAAAAACATTTACAGAGTGGCATTTTTCATGTACAAGTCTTATTTTCTGTATGTCGGACTTTGATAAAAAGATTAAAAAAAAGAATCACTGTTGGCATTATAGCTCAGTGGCAGAGGGGCCTGCCTAGCAGGCTGGGGCTCTGGGTTAGATTGCTAATATTGCTATAATAGTTGAGAAACATAGTGTTCAAAATACGTGGTTGCTCAATGGGCATTTTGAGCAATTGGCAACACACATCAAAAAATGACAAGGTCCTGTCCTTAAGGAGTTCTCAGCATCGGACTGGAGAGTTGGTTCAGAACTTAAGAGCATTGCGTGCTCTTCCAGAGGATCCAGGTTTGAGTCCCAGCACCCACTCGGTGGTTCACAACTGTCTGCAGCTCCAGATCCAGGGATCCAATGCTCTCCACAGGCACCTGGCACACACTGGGTACAGAGACACATAGGCAAAACCCATGCACATAAAATAATTTAAAAAAAAAATAAGTTCCTAGCACAAAAAATGGACATAGATTAACTTTAGTTTGACTAAACAGGTCTATGATAAAAGCAGCATGTTAAGTCCTGAGTCCACAGGAATGTTTGACAGTGAACTAGAAGGGTCCTATAAACGCTCTTTCAAGGATTCGAGGGTTTTAAAGTGTAAGTGGAGAGTTCTCCACAAAAGGATTATCATGTGTTGAACTTCATTTAATTAGAGAAACAAATCAAATCTGGAAAAAGAATGTGAGGTGAATTCAGACTTTGTTCTCTTGGTGTATTTGCTCTCAGAGTCGAGCTAATGACAGGCAATACTGACCTGGTGCCTGCAATGTCTTGCATTGTATCAGGTACCCTGGACCTCATCTCATTTCATACTCCTTTGGAGCTTATTTTACAACTGAGCTTAAATGTCAGCCAGGAGTCAGGTGATGGTCACGGTAAGGATTCTGAATCAGGGCTAATGTCTCCCAAGCTTTCCACAATTTGCTATTTCCCTCAGGGAATGTAGCATTTTCTTCACAGTTCTAAAGCCTCTCAATTTGTGGCTCCCTTAGAAAACATTCCCAGTTAAGGAAATAGGATAGTTAGCGATCTTGTTTTAAATATATAATCTTTGCCAAGTTTGCTGCTTGGTCTGAGAATTTGAGAGCATCCTAAAAGGTTAATGACCCTGGAGACTGAGGGTTAGATGGGCAATCATAAAATAGCATTTGGTTCATCATGTCGACCTGGAGGGAACAGTGGGTGAATGCCCTGGCCTGACGGATCTGATGTCTAGTCTCATCTCTCAACCCAGTATGCTCCTGCGTACTCATTTTCCCGACAATTCTCTTAACATCTGAAATTTCCTGTACCATTTCAGTTTTACTTGCTGAGAATAAGCGTCATTCTATGGGTTATTCACTTCCAGTTCACTCAGCCCGACTCCTGCCTGGGAAACAAGAAACTACATTCCCTAGGGACGCAGAAATATTAACTGAATCACTGGATGCAGGAGGTCGTTACCACTATTATCTCCAGCGTGACATTTTTTTTTTTCCAGTAAGAAGATTAAGGAGACTGAAAGGGACGCAGCTGCGTGTAAACACGAGCGTCTCTCAGTTCGCCTCCGCGCACACTCTTGAGGTGTTGAATGGCAGCCTGGGAACGCTACAGCACATCCAGGGATGTGCTAGGGGAAGCCCAGAGCATCAAAGCCAGGTGGAGCAGCCGACCCCCGCGCCAATATGGCCGCGCGGCCTCACGTGGGCCAAGGGGAGGAGCCCGAAGAAAGTTCAAAGAGAACCTCGGATCACGTGATGCACGGTAGGCGGTGCCACGAGGGGCGTGACTTCACTCCCCGTCCCTCCCCAGCTGCCCCGGCAGAAGCTGCTCGCGGGCCACGCCCCTTGAGCCCTGAGAGAGTCGCGCGCGTTTAGCGGGGCGGAGTCTTCGTCGTGACCTTTCACCCCAGCATGGCTGCGCCCTTGGGACCAGTGAAGTTCTGGAAACCGGGTAAGGCACGGAAGGAAACCTGGGTTGATGCGGCGACTTGACTTTGGGCCAGGGGACCCGCCCTTGGCCCTGACCGGGGAGGGCTGGGCACCACTTCTCTGCGCGCGTGGCTGCTGCAGCCCACGGTGGTCCCGAGGAAGCCAAGGCCTCCCCGACCTGGGCTGAAACTCCGGGTGACCTTGTTCGAGTCTCTCAGCCTCCTCTGCACCTCTTGAGATGCGCGTTCTGAAGTACCCATGCGTGTTTTCTTGCTGTCTTAGGGCCGCAGTGAGGCTCGGCAGGCGGTGCAGCTCAAGGGCTTAGAAGCTTGGGTTATAGAGTCAAGAGTGCCCAGGTTCAAGTCTGCCTCTGTGCCTTGCAGCCGTAGATGGAAAACCTTGAGCCATGCGTTCTGTCACTCTGGGCACTGGTCCCCTCACCTGTGAAGTGGGCAGAATACAAACACCTGTACTGTGGGCGTTGAGTCAGGAGTACATGGTCGGACTTAATGGCTCATAAAAGGGAAAATGTGTTCCAGTGTTTTAGGTGAGGTCTCGCCCACTCTGAATGTTTACCACAAAGTGAACGCCCTCCTTCTTATTGGCTGTCACCCTCTTGTCTTGCAGGCTAACAAGTCACCATCACAAAATCCTTTGTTTTTCCATTTTCTCATCGGTCAGGTTTTTAATGAGTTATAGATACCAGACCATGCCCCGTGTAGGGTGCTTCCTTTTGTTAATGCCTTTCTTATAAAACAAAACAAAACAAAACAAAACAAAACAAAACAAAACAAAACTGTTTCTTAACCGGTATTAGCCCCCGCCCTTACTTTTTCATCTCTTTCTCTCTCTCTCTCTCTCCTATCTATCTAATCTATTTTTCTCCCCTACCTACACCCGGAAAGTCTGGATGTATACATTATATTGTGGCGAAAATTATTCGATACAGAAAGGACAAGGGTGTCTTAGGTCCCCAGAATTCTGACTATGTGTCTAAGTGTTAGAGAAATAAAGCCAAGCAAGTGACACACTTGTTTCTTACAAAACAAAAGGAAACAAAAACCCCGAACTGGGCATGGGTGGCTCTTGACTGTAATCCCAGCATTTGGGAGGCAGAGGCAGGAGGATCTCTGAGTCTGAGGCCAGCCTGGTCTGCATTGCAGGACAGCCAGGGCTTCAAAGAGAGACCCCCCATATATGTGTGTGTTTGTTGTTTGCTTGATGACACTTTCATGACTCAGCATTTCCAGGCATCAGCCAATTGTCCATCCCGCTAAGTAATGAGTTACCATTTATTTATTCAAGAGTTTATTCAAGAGTCAACAGAGGCTTGGATAAATTGTCGAAACTCAGACCTGGGTACCATTTTGGTTAAAAACCCCAAAACTACTCTTACTGTCTGTCTCATTGTTTAGTTCGCCTAGAGTACACTTCTCTACTCAGGAGCTGTGTACACATGCCCGGGACCCTACTCCCAAGAGGCACTTTCCCAGTTGACTCTGAAGTCACATGTCCATTAGAAGAGATTCTAAGCAAGGTGGAAGGGGTGGTGGTTAAGAAGACAGCCTCAAGTGCCGGACTGTAGGGCCTTCCCTGCCTACCACTTACTAACTTGGTGACTTGTGCCAAGTCTCTGCTGCCTTTTTGGTAATTTGTCATAATAGGATTATTATGAGGATTAAGTGAGAAGAATGCACAAAAAAACCCGTGGCACTAGATGCATAGCTATTATAATTGTATAGAAGTATAGGGGAGGGAAGGAAAGCTGGGTGTGAAGAATTGACTGTGTCATAGAGATGGTAATGGTTTTGAGTGAACATTGAAGGGTGAAGAAAGTTTGTTATGGTTTGTTTATAGAGAGGTAGGGAACGGCTTTCCAGGCCATTGAAAGGATTTGTGTCTTAATGATGTCCCCAAGTCCCCAGTAATGGAGCACTGTGATGGTATGATATGTGGGTATGTTTTGGGGGGTGGCAGGAGCTGATGCTGGCAAGTTAAAGAATTTGGGCTTCTGGGCCAGGGAGATGGCTCAGCAGGCAAAGGAGCTTGCTGTGAGAGCCTGACAGCAGCTTGATCCTTATAACTCATGTAAGGGCAGATGGAGAGAACCAACTCTACAGAATGGTCTTTTGCCCGCCACACGTGTGCTGTGGCATGCATGCCCACACATGTACACACACACACACACACACTCACACTAAATAAATTAAAAGAAAAAGGGGCTCCTTGTTTTAACTGCAGCAGTGATATGGTGAAGAATGCCACGCCTAAGAGAAGTTGCTACTAAAATCCAGGATGGATAGTGAACCTCAGTGCTAGCCTGGGAGCTGACAGGAAGGGCCTGTCAGACACTTTAGAGGTAAAGAGAAGAGAAGGTGAAGTCAAGCATTCTGTGTTCTCCCTGGGGTGAGTGCGTAAGTGAGTGGGTCTGGGTGTGTGTGTCTCAAATTTTGCAAATAGTTGAATCTCTTGGAAAGCTCTAAAAAAAAATTCTGGTGTTCTTTTGTTACTATTGTCAAAAAATCAGGAACCAGACAGCAGTATGTTTTAAACATTTTTTGGGGGGGGCTTCTAGCATGCATCAAAGTTGGGGATCCAGTGGCCCAGGTATATTGTTTTCATTCACTGAAACTTGAGTAGCTTCAGCGGGTTCTGAGCCCTGGGCCAGCCACTTTGACTTACAGCATCCTATCAGCTGATAAGATACCTTCTCTCTGATTGATACCTTCACAGATGAGCAGAACATTCAAGATACGAAATGGGTTGTGGGAAATGCAGGTCAGGGAGGTGGTTGGAGCTGAGTATAAGGCTAGAGTTTGGAATCATGAGCCTGTCCTGTAGCCCCAAAGGCACAGGCTCAGGTAACCATGGGGGCTCTTTAGACAAAGTACGTAAGGGAGGTGTGTAATGGAATAAGATATGGTGGGGTTGAAGGGCTGTGTGTGCATTGTGGGGATGTGTACAGTATAGAATTGTGCGCTGGAACTTGCAAACCTGGTGCCGTGCTCTGCCTGATTGTTATCATATGGGCTCCAGGTTTTTTTTTTTAAAAGACAGGGTCTTCCTCAGTTGCCTAGGCTAGTGATGAATCCTCTCTTAGCCTGGGCAAACCCTAACCCTGTGATTCTCGTGCTGCAGAATCTGGGATTACAGACTCATGGCCAAACTTGGCTCCCAGATGGGAAAATTTTGGTTGCTGTTTTAAATGAAATATATATATATATATACACACACACACACACACACACATATATATGTATATATGTATATTCTGAGTGTAGTGGTACATGCCTGTATTTCTAATACTTGGGAGGGTGAAGCAGGAAGACTGAGAGCTCAAGACTAGCCTGGACTACATAGTGAGTTTCAGGCTATCCTGAGCTACATAGCAAGACCCTGTCTAATAAAACCAAACTGACAAGAAACATCTCACCCTCAGAAATCAACAACGAGGACAATAACCATTTAAAAGAGTTTAGTGATAGTATGAATGGAGACCTTAAATAACTAGTTTGTAATCTCCAACTTACTAGTGTGGTATACTGATCTTGTGTGACCTGCCTGAGGTTTTTCCAGAAACAATGTTCATTTTTATTTGCTGGCACACGTGGGTCAGATGGGCCTGCCCATTTTCATTTACTGACTCAACAAATACTTAATGGTGGCTGACCTTGTGCCTTGCAAAAGCTTTATTGAGGCGCTTTGAGGATTTGTTTTTCCACTTGATTTATGCTAAGAATTGTGTTGTAGGGCTGGAGAGATGGCCCAGTGGTTCAGAGCATTTGCTGTTTTTGCAGAGAACCCAAGTTTAGTCCCAGCACCCATGCCCATGACTTTAGCTCTAGAGGATCCATTACCTTAGAAGAGATTCTGAATTGGGTGCTTGTTGTGGCCTTGCTTTACAGATGGGGAAATGAAAGCGTTAATGGTTTGTGAAAATTGCAAAAATGCTACTTCCTTAAGCATGGCACACACTCCCAATTTAAAAACAGCCGTAAACAGAGTGGGCTGTGGGGTGTGTATAGATGGAAAGCAGCCCTGGGGTTCTTGTGTGGCTGAATGGAGTCTTTTGTAAGGAGAAGAAAGGCTCATAGGGATTGACAGCAGCTGTTCTTGTAAAAGCTCCTAACAGCTGTAGGTTAGAGACAAGAGAGGGACTACTAACCCCTGGGGGTTGTGAGCCAGCGTGTGGGATGACGCAGACCTTGCAGGAACAAGTGTTCAGATTCTCCAGACATAATGGCGTGGCTCAAATGTTTTAAGAAGAGGGTATTCCAGACAAAACCAGCCAGAAGAGGTGACGGTCTTCTCTCCCGTAGTTCCTCGTTTAAGAGTGCAGAGGTGGGTGCGGCAGTGGTGAGAGAAGGATGGGAAACCTGCTTTCCAGCCCAGGCTTGGTCCAGGCCCGCTCAGTCTTTTCCCTCACTGAAGGGAAGTTGGCATTTGGCAGAAGCGATGGCAGCAGTGCCCCACTTACCTGCTTTTTGGCAGCTGTGTTCCTGGAAGTACCTGGAACAGGGCTGGAGATGAAAGCTGCCGAGCTCTGAACTTGGTTCTGGGAGTCTGCAGAGCCAGCATCTTCTATTCCGATGAATTGTGCTCTTGCTTTTTTCAGGAGGGGAGTTCACGAATGCCTTTAATCTTAGCTCTTGGGAGACAGCTGGCAGATCTCTTAGTTTGAGGCCAGCCTGGTCTATAGAGCTTCAGGATAGTGAGGGCTACACAGAGAAACCTTGCCTCAAAACAAAACAAAACAAAACAAAACAAAACAAAACACAATAGAATTGAGCTGGGTTTGGTAGCACATGCCTGTTAATCCTAATACTTGATTCTGATGCAGGATTGGGAGTTCAAGGTCAGCTGGAATATATTTAAGGTGACCCTGTCTTCAAAAACCAAAATGTAAACATAAATAAAATGGAGTCTCTGGGCTTAGTCTTATCACAAAGCTCTTGTCTTTCAGGTGGCTTTGCAGGTTCAGAAGACTGGAAGCTGGCTGTTCTGGGCAGGCAGGCAGTCAGTCAACTCTACGCTGTGCCCAGTAGGGGCTGTGCACATGTCTGAAAAGTTAGGAGGGTTTTTCTCAATTCACAAGGCAGCACACTCCATGGCTGGACAGCTCTGACTTTGAGAACTGTCTTCCTTATGTTGAACTGAATTGTGAATTCTGTCACTTAGTCCATATCTTATTTGCTTTTAGAAAGATTGATTTTTATTTTATATGGTTGCCTGCATGTGTGTATATGCACTGTGCACCTAGTCCTTATGGAGCCAGAAGAGGGCATTAGATTCTCTGGAACTAAAGTTAATGGAAGTTGGTTGTGAGTCACCTTATGTATGCTGGGAACTGAACCCAGGCCCTCTGCAAGAGAAGCAACTGCTTTTTAACGACTTTACCCACGGAGCCATCTCTTGAGCCCATTCCTTCCTCCCTATCTGTCTGTCTGTCTGGAGTGATTTTATTTTTAGGTGTGCGAGTTTGACTGCGTGTGTATCTGTGCACCATGTGCTCACCTGGTGTCGGGTCCCATGGAACTGTAGCTATCGCTGGTTGGGAGCCACCATGTGGGTGCCAGGAGCTGAAGCTGGGTCCTCTGCAACATTAGCAAGTGCTCTTTACCGCTGTGCCATCTCTCTAGCCTCACTTGAATCTTAACCTAGTTCTGTCCTTGGGTCACAGGGACAAGTTGCCATGGAAAGAAACAGAAGCTGATCATATGGAACCTATACTTCTCTGTGGGATCTGCCGTCTCGATTTGTCATTGTTCTGAGCGAGCTACTGTGCCTGTCTGCTCTTTAATCTGCCCTGCAGTGTTCCTTGGACTGTCGTTTTCCATGACAGTTATGGTTATGGTTCACATGCGCTGCTATCACTGTATCTCATTCTGCCAGCTGCGGGCATTTGAATCAGGGTAGGCCTTCTAACCTAAGGGAGATGCAAGTTCCCCGTGGTCCAGTATAAAGAACCCCCTCACTGCCATATTCATCCTACTTCTGGTGCTCGAAGTCCCTTTCATTTCACTCCATGGCTCTTACCTGTCATTCTTGTACCATGTTAAAAATTCTACTGGGAGGCAGCATGTGAGAGGCAGCAAATCCATGAAGGTCATCCTGCATCTGTGCTGCCCTGGGCTGGTTTCTAGTGCTTAGAGCAGTGCCTGCCCTGGAGGCCTTGCAGCCTGTCTTGTTCGTGGGTACTTGGATAGCTGCCAGTTAGCTGTGGGCTGAGCTCCGGACCATCAGCAGCCCACAGAGAGCCCACCCTGTGGCCTGAAGGTTTCAAACTTGTCAAGAGGTGCAGAGGTGAGAGAGGGGAAGCAGGTAGCCTGAGCCTCTGATTCTTGTTCTCTCTGAGTCTTGCTGTCTCTTCTACAGTACCAGGCTTTGTCTTTGGCCTTGGCAGATTCCCGCTGGGTTTCTTTCACTTCTGTTTAGAATTTGACAGGACTGAGATCTGGACGGCCCAGTAGGACTGCTTTTCTCTGTTCTACACTCTGAACTGAAACACTTGGGAAGATGTTTTTGTGGTCTGACAGGTACCTCCCTAGCTTTTTTTTTTAATCCTTTTTAGTAGTTTGAAATAAAAAGCATTGTTTCTTTTGTATATCTGTCGTTGAAAATGTATAACTTTTATATACCTTTTTTTGTTTAACATATCAAAATCTGAAAAAAAAAATTTTCTGCTGCAGGTACAGAAGGGCCAGGGGTCAGCATCTCTGAAGAGAGACAAAGTGTCACTGAGAACTCTGGGACAACCATCATTTACAATCCCTACGCTGCCCTTTCCATAGAGCAGCAGCGACAGAAGCTGCCTGTGTTCAAGGTACGGCATGTCTGTGACCCACATCATGAGCTTGTCACTGAGGGGACAGCACTGTCACTCAATGGTTCTATAAGTTGTGGTGCATTAGAGGAGCCCCACTCCATTCTAGTGTTTATGCGTGTGTGTGTGTGTGTGTGTGTGTGTGTGTTGGGAGGAGAGAGGGGAAGAGAGAAAGGAGAGAGCACATACCCTTTAAGATTGGGAAGTCCTTACGATTTTTAGATCTTGAATATTAGGAAATGGGAAGAATCGGGAAGGCATTCTTTTTTTTTTTCCTCTTCATGAATATCAGTTATGAGCATTTTCTGATGCAGAAAATGACTAACACAGTGAACTTCTGTGTATCCAGAGTCAACGTGTTATCAACATATGGCCAGTTTTTGCTTTCTTTTAGCAGAGTTGGTTGGTATTTGGGCGTCTGTCTTTGGGAGAGATCATTTGGTACTCTTATCCTTAATGAGACAGTGCTGAGATTTTGGTGAGGTTGCCAGATACTCGGCTTTAAGAGTGCAGATGAGTTGGCGAGTACTCAGCTCACCAGCGACCAGAGCTTAAACTTGAGGACATTCAGAACCACTTTCTGTATGGTGATTGAAGTCTGTCCATCGTGGACACTTGGTGGGTCTGTTGGCAGCGCCACATGGCAGGCCCCTTGCAGTCAGAAAGTTGGCTCAGAGGCGGCCAACTGTTGCTGATGAATCCTGACTTCAGCCCGTGGCCGGCATGCTGAGGTTTGAATTTGCCTCCTTCATGCAGTGTCTCTAGAGTGACTTGTGTAGGCTATGCAGGCCGGTCTTTCTGTCGGACAGAGCTGGGTGGAAGAGGACAAGGTTTGGTTGCTTGTTAGTTTGTTTTTTCCTTTTTTTTTTTGTGGTACTGAGGATTTAATCTAAGATGTGCAGGCAAGTGCTTAACCCCTGTGCTGTGTCAGATCCCCAGCACTTATTTTATTTTAAATTTTGAAACAGGGTCTTGCTAAATTGCTTAGGCTGGCCTTGAACTCACTCTGTAGTCCAGGCTGGCTTTGAACCTGTGATCCACTTACCTCAGCCTCCTGTGTTGCTAGGATGACGGGTTTGTGCCACCAGCTCCACTAAGACAGTGGTTCCGTAGACTTGGGGTTCCCTTCATTTAGACACTGCTGGTAATACCCTTCTACTAATGTGTCCTTTCTCCACATAGCTGTGGAGCAGCAGCCTTCTCAATTTAGCTAAGTTGCCTTGTTTGGAGGTTTACGTGACCTTAAACATTTCAGTCAACCTAATCGTCTCTGGGTCTTTTTCTCAGGTGACTGGTGTTATCCATTGTGTGTGACTGGGTGGGACCCTCAGGATGTTAGCTGACAGGCTCACCATGGCCTCCTCACACTGAGGGGTGCCATCTTGGAGTCATGATGAAGTGGCGGGACTCTGGGATAGACTTCACTGTCCCACCCTGTTTCATCATTCACCTGCTGGGTGACCTTGCTTCACCATTGTAAGCTTCCATTTCCTTATCTGCGATGTGGGCTAATCGCACCTGCCTGTAGGATTGCTATGAGGCCTGGATGAGGTCACCTGTGGTGTTTATAAGGTGTCCAACTCTTAACTACCCAAGTACAAGGAAGAGGCTGTTTACTGAGTATATAAATGTTGACATTTCTTAACTGCCCATCATTTTCTAACTGTCATATAAGTGAAGTGAAACTGAAATAAAAACAAGTTGAGCCTATCGAGAAATGAAGAGAACTAAGGCATACATTACTGATAGAAGGCAAAGCAGAACCTGAGAGCTGTTGGACTCTTGAGGGATGTTAAAATGGACTAGGAGGTGAGAAGAACAGTGTTGCTCTCTCACCTTCTCTCCTGTTCAGACCAAACGTAAAGGCAGCTTCATGAGGTTTGTGGAGGAGCTTGGTGAGATCCTGGCCTTGATTCCAGCATCACCATAACTACAGTGGACAGAAGTTGACCAAAGCAGCCACCAGTCTTACCCTCTCCCCATTTCCAAGGTGTCCTTCCTTGACTTCCCTCTGTAGCCGTCGCTCTCTCCAGGGTATGGACACTGCTGTGAAAGGTGTTTTATGCCTGCCAGTTCCCTGGTCTGAAGTTCATCCTGTCCTTGCTGTATTCCCAGGTTCACTAAGCCTGGCGACAGTACCTCCCTGTTTCTCCCTGTCTCCATCCCAGCCATCTTCTTGTCGTGTCTGGCCATGTTGAGCTAAAGCGCACGAAGCTGGAGTCACTGCCTTGTCTTTCTTCCTGTCCACATCATCGCGAGTGCTGCTGTCCTATTTTCTACAGATGCAGTACCCGCCAATACCATATCGGTCAAGCATAGCCTCTGTTCCTTCTGAACTCAGTCCCAAACCAGTGCCCTCCCAGTCAACTTCGCTCCCAAAGTCCCTCCTCCTCAGCCTTCATGCTGGGATTACAGGTGTGTGCCATCACACCTGGATTCATGGGTCTTCATAAGTCCTCTCCAATAGTGTACACATACCTTCTTTCAGTTTCCTTCTCTTCTCTTTACTTTTAAAAATTACTTATTTATGTATGTTATGTGTATGAATGCTCTCTTTGTCTCATTGTACTCCTGCATGACAGAAGAGGGCATCAGATCCCATTACAGATGATTGTGAGCCTCCATATGGTTGCTGGGAATTGAACTCAGGACCTCTGGAAGAGCAGCCAGCGTTCTTAACTGCTGAGCTATCTTTTTAGCCTCCTCTTTTCTTTATTTTATTTTTTTAAGATGGTTTTTCTGTGTAGCCCTGGCTGTTCTGGAACTCTCTCTGTAAACCAGGCTTGCCTCCAACTCAGAAATCCACCTGCCTCTGCTTCTCTAGTGCTGGGATTAAAGGTGTACACCACCACCACCTAACTTTATTTGTATTTCATTTGTGTGTGGGTATTTGTATAAATTCAGGTTCTTGGGTTCTACCTAGCTCTACTATTTAGAAATCTGGATGGTAAAGGTAAGAATCTTCATTTTTTTTTTCTTTAAAAATCTTACTTTAATTGGTTAAAATGAAATAATCACATTCACAAAAAAACCTAGGCTTACAACCATAAATATAAGAATCTTCATTTTTAACAAATGATCCCAGAACATTTTCTCATTAAGACCTGAGGACTGCATGTCTACATCCAGGTATAACACATTAATAACTCCTGGATAGCCAGGAGCTTATTTGCAAGCTAGAGCGTGTCAGCATCCCAGCTCCCATCCCCACCAAATACCTCCATGGTATGACAATAGATGAGCTGAAACCTGGTCAGAGAGGGAGCCCCGGGCAGGTTTCCTTCCAAAGGAGGCTTTGTAGGATGTGTCTGCAATCAGAGTTCAGAAATGCCTTCTGAAGCTAAGCAAATGGGACACTGGGATTGTTTGGAGCTTTTCAGTGGTCCAGACTACTTCCACTGAGCCAACACAGAAGGCTGAGTTACCTCTGGATGTTTTATTGTGAACTTTAGTTTCACTGTTTTTCCATGCTAATAAATAAAAACTAATTTTTTATTGGGTAATGCATAAATGTTCTATAAAACTTCAAAGCTCTTGAATGCTTCTTCCTCACCCCTTTACCCTCCTAGGATGTGGCACTGTTATCTCCTTTCTTTAAAATACAGTACTAAGGTCCTGGGAGATGCTCAGTGGGAAAACTGTTCCTCGTATGAGGAACAGTTGTATGAGGAACTTAGTTTAGAGCCCAGCATTCAAGGAACAAATTGGGTGTGGCCATCATGTGCTGGTAACTGAAGTGCCATGGGGGCCAGAGACCGGAGGGTGACTGGCCCTGCTGGCTGCCAGCCTCATTCGAGGTTCAGTGAGAAACATACACACCCCCACAAATATTTCTGCACAATGTGCACACACATATATTATTCATACTAGTTTGTTCCTTGCTTTTTTTTTCTTAGCGTATCTTCTAGGTGTTTGTTCTTTTAAACAACCACAAGTTGTTTGATTATTGAGAGCATTTCATTATTGTTTTAACAACACACTTGTGACACACATTTAGACTGTTGGGTTTGCATGTCTGTATGTCTGTGTGTGTGTGTTGTGTGTGTGTGTGTGTGTGTGTGTGTGTGTGTGTGTGTGTGTGTTGAACCAGGGTCTTATCCAGCCCAGTCTGGCCTTGAACTTGTGATGTAGCTGGAAATGACCTTGAACTCCTGATTTTTCTGTCTCTATCTTGTAAGTACTGAGAGTATAGATGTGCACAACCACTCTTTTTTTTTTTTTTTAATACTGTGTGTGTATGTGTGCATGTATTAGTATGCCTGCAGTATTATTTCTTATAGGTGAAAGTCTTTATTGAAGAGGTGGGAGTATTCACATATTCTACAAGCATTTCATTCATGTCTTGGCTCATGCTGACATCAGTGGCACCTGAGAGTTGAAACCACTTTGTTGTTTTTTTTTTTAAAGACTTATTTATTATTTATATAGCATTCTGCCTGCACAGGAGAAGAGGGTACCAGATCTCCTTATAGATGGTTGTGAACCACCATGTGGTTGCTGGGAATTGAACTCAGGACCTTTGGAAGAACATCCAGTGTTTTTAACCTCTGAGCCACTCTCCAGCACCACTTTGGTTTTCTGAGTCAGGGTTTCTCTGTGTAGCCCTGGCTATCCTAGACTTGCTTTGTAGACTAGGTTGGCCTCAAACTCACAGAAATCCAACTGCCTCTACCTCTCCCTCTCCAAATGCTGGGACTACAGGCCTGGTGTGGAACACATTTTAATAGTTCTTTTTAAAATTTTTAGTAGTTTTAATATAGTTTTAAAAATTTTAATAGTTCTTTTTAAAATTTACTTTCCTCTGGAAACATCTTATTTCACAGAGTTTAAATATGTTTTCTTGGGTCTTTTGAGACAGAATATGGTTACTTACAATGTTGTCTTATTTTTTCCCAGCTTAGGAACCACATTTTGTACTTGGTAGAAAACTATCAGACAGTGGTGATTGTCGGAGAAACGGGTTGTGGGAAGAGCACCCAGATTCCTCAGGTGAGTGTGTGTTAATATCCTTCCATGCAGGTTTTAGTGTGGAGGACTTTGTAACTTCAGGATGCCCTTTACTGTCATTGCCATGATCAAGGTCTCTTTCAAGAACTACTTGTCAGGGGCTGGAGAGATGGCTCAGAGGCTAAGATCACTGGCTGCTCTTCCAGAGGCCCTATTCCCAGCACCTGTTTGGTGGCTTACAACTATCTGTAACTTCAGTTTCTGGGAATCTGAAGCCCTCTTCTGGCTTCTTCAGGCACAGGCACACAGGTGATGCCCACAAGTACTATACCCATACACATAAAATAAAAATAAATAAATCTTTTAAAAAAAGACCTACTCATCTCAGATATTTTTGTTAAACTTCTGAACTTCTGATTTTTTTTTTTTTATTAATAATAGAATTAAGTTGTTTTCAATTCATTATACTTCCAAAATTGTAAGAGTGGTCATTCTCCGAAAGGAACAGTATTGACTCATTCAGAGATGTGCACTGCCTAGCTCTGTCCTCATGAATCACATTTGAATACTGCTATAGTAAGTAAAGTTCCCCATTACAGAATTACGTGTCGCGGCAGAAAGAACTTGTTTTATTAATGTCTGTGGATAGGAGTGGAAAGAAAGATCAGGAGAGGTCTTGTGAAGGAAATGGCATTTGAAATAGATCTTGGATGATTGATGGGTTGGATGGGAAGATCTCCAACCCAGCGAATGCCGTGACAGGCCTGACATAGATACTTGGTGGAGAAGCGTGCTATAATATAAGGTCAGAATGTGTCCAGGGGCCTTGGCTTGACAGGTGAGCAGTAACTGAGAACCCGTGCAGCTTTTTCTTGTATCGAAGTATAAAATGCACACGGGAAGGTGGTTATATCTTGATTGTAGAGTGTGCTGCATTTCTCCATTTGTTACTAGTACTCAGTTGAAGACACACAGTGGAACTTCAGAAGCCTTCTGTGGCCCCTGTAGTCTCTGCTTGCCCCTCACACATAGGCAAGGGTAACTCCATTCCAGCTTCTAAGGCTGTTCCTTATAATGATATCATTATAATGTATTTAGCATATTATATTTTATAGAATACATAAATGAACTACATATGGACATGGACATATAATACACATACATGTATGTGCATACACACATTTTTTTCCTGCTTTTTTTGACATAGGGTCTCTCTACATTGCCCTGGCTGACCAGGAGCTTGCTGTATAGACCAGGCTGGCTTTGAATTCACAAAGATCCACCTACCTTTGCCTCTACGTGAAGTCTAAATTAAATTTCATAGTATATTGAGGTGACAGGTTATTTTCATGGAAGTCATGTGTCTTTCATGTGGCACAGCTGCAGAGAGACACCTTGTGTGTGTTTGCTTGAATTCAGAATGCAGAGTTTCAGACTTTGTTGAAGCTTAGATTTGCTGGCCTTGAACTCCAGCTCTTGGGTTTTTATCTGCTTCCTCAGACACGTCCTGTAACCTCTTTATTCCGTCACCTGAATGCTCTTGATGCTGCAGTCCTTGCGGTCAGTCATGTGGGAATTTGCATAAGGCGCTCACTTGGTAGACCTTGGGAATGTCCTTGTAATTCTGCTTGTATCTGTGTTGGTTGGGGTTGTTGGCAGTGTCTCATGTGTGTAACTACTATGAGACAACAGTTTTATAGTGAAACACACTATTACAACACTGTTCCTCACTGTCATTTTTAACTAGTTTAGACTAAGCAAAGTCGTAGAAGCTAACATAGTACCTTCTGCTCCCTGTGCTACTTGCAGATTTTTAATGTCCCTCTAGGCCTTGTCTGCAGCCATGACATGTCCTTCTTTACCACTGTTAAAGGGAATTTGTTTTGAGGAGCACTGTTCTTCCCTCTCTCGTTTACATATTTGACTCCTTACATGTATTCTTATGATTCATGGATAGCTGTGTTTTCACAGTGTAAAGTCCTGTACCATGTTAACTTTATTGCTTAAATTGTTTCATGTTTTACAGTGAGAAGGCCTTTCTTTTGCTTCCACTTTCTTTTAAAAGTTTCCATTCTTTTTTGACCAGTACTGAACCTGGTCAAAACAAGATGTGGCTCGTCTTCCATGGGCTGTGTTTGAGCTTTTTCTCCTTTTATTAGAGATGCCAAAACCCTGATGCTGATTGCTGCTGAGGCATCACCACTGACTCAGCAGGAGGGCGCTGGGGACACAAGTGTGGATATGTGCTCTCCCCTACCTTCTGGAGGGATGCTCCTGTCTCCCTGTATGCAGCACTCTGAGTCAAGATCAGTCACCATGGGTTTGCTTATGCTGAAGCTTCTGACTCCAGTCCAAAATAATAGGACTTGTTTCTGCCTCTCATTGTTAACTTCTTGTGTATTTATGTGTTTGTTAGATCCCAGTATGTGTGTATGTACCTATGTATAACATAGTCGTAGAATTGCTACCTCCTACATTCACTGGATTTTACTGACCTTTGCCCACTAGATCACAGCATTTTAGAAGGTTGTTTCTGTCCAGCCTTTCGGCATCAGTGATGATAACCACTGTCCATGTCGCTCGGCTTCGTCAGTGAGGTTTCCACCATCACTCAGCCTGGTTCTTTTCTTCTCCTCCCCCTGGTGTTTCTGGGATTGTGTTGCCATTTGAGCATAGAGTCATCCATCTGTTAGTGTTTGTTTTTCTTTTTGTTTTCCCAGGCCTTTACTGGTTTTGGCTATTGGGTTTTTGAAGAGTAATGGAATACAATGGGTTCTGTATCAGATGATCTACCCAGAGTTCTTATCTTTCTCCATCCTGTCTCCCTATTTCCACTGCCCTTTCCCCCTGTCTGCTTGGTCCTAACCACTACAGACAGCCATTCTCTTTAGTTTCAAATTATCTTTCTTTTAAACATTTTGTTTTTATTGTTTCTTTTCTTTTCTTTTTGTTTGTTTTTGTTTTCTGAGACGGAGTTCCTCTGTGTAGCCCTGGCTGCCTAGAACTCACTTTGTAGAGCAGGCTGGCCTCGAACTTAGAGATCCTTCTGCTTCTGCCTCCTGAGTGCTGGGATTAAAAGCATGTCACAACACCTAGCTATTATCTTTTTTTTTTGAACCAATGAATATGTATATGAAATTCCAATATTAATTTTTCTATTATAGAAGTAATATGCCCATCATTTTATAAAAAGAAAGTTAAGTTTGATAGTTAGTAGTCCGTTTAGCCGTGTCTCCGCACTTTACAATTCTTTCTTCTGTAGACTGAGAGCTGTTGTGACTGGATAGCTTTTCCTTGCTTGGTAAAGCTATAATGCGTAGACATTGTGTGGGACTGGGGAGTCTTCAGGCTGAATCTCTTGGTTCTTCTATCAGATTTGCTGTGAATGTAATTTCCTAACAACACCAAACCTGAGATCTGCCATCCGTCAAATAATTTGCCCAGTTTTGCTGCAGGATGACCTGTGTTGTTTCCTTTCTTGGTGCCTCAAGCACAGCACAGGGTCACCTGGAGGGAGGGTTGTCTGGAAGCTGCTGTCAGATGTGAACCCCTCTGTGGTTCTACTTGCAGTACCTGGCAGAAGCTGGTTGGACAGCCGAAGGACGAGTGGTCGGAGTGACCCAGCCTCGAAGAGTAGCTGCTGTGACGGTAAGTTTCTCTTTGTGTTGTAGATTGTGCCTGTCCCTTCTCTTTCCTCAGTCAGCTCTTATTTCTTGAAGAAACAAAACCAAACAAATTAGTAGAAGTTACTCTTTAAGAATTTAACTTGAGAAGAGCTACGAGTGGAAATTTTGCAGAATTAGTAACTGTGTGCTGTGAACCTTTTAGTAAAGTACTTAGGGAATAAAGTAAATATATTTGCTTAAAGCCTCACTATGCCAGCATGAGCATTGAGAATGTCTGCGAGTGTCGTTCAGTGTTTCTCACCAAGCTGAGGCGTGACTGGCTGGGTGGGTGGCTGCAGGCTGGATAGGAACACTTACAAGTGTGGGGTTATGGCCATGTTTACATGCATTCACTAAGACAGAAGAGAACATTAAGTGAAATAGTAAAATGGGGCACGTATGGACTCTAGATAGACATTTTCTCATCACAGGAGAATTTATTAAAGCTTCAAAACAAAAAATAAGATTACAGAAAGCCTTCATAATGTTTCCACAGTGATTTTTTCCCCCTCTTCTCTTATTTTCTTTTTGAGACAGGGTCTCATGTAGCTGCAGCTACATGAACTTGAAGCAGTCCTTCTGAGTATCTCAGATACTAGGAGTGGTGGTATGTGCCTTTAGTCCCAGCATTCAGAAGGCAGAGGCAGTGGGAGCTCTGAGTTCGAGGCCAGCCTGGTCTATATTCTAGTCCAGACCAGCCATAGTGATACCTGGTGTCAAAAAACAAGCAAATAAACAAACAAACAAACAAACAAAAAAACCCACCAACAAATCAAACAAATGTGAGGTGCTATACCTGACCTATTTTTCAAATGTATGTTATAAGGGAGGAGGAGATGATCTTTCTGCTTCTCTTCCTTTATTGATACAGCACCAGGATTTTCATTTTAAGATGTACAACATTTAAAAGATTACTTTATTATTTTGTGTATATGGGTGTTTTTCCTGCCTGTATGGCAGTATATTGCATTTATATGGTGCCCATGAGGCTCCAGAAGAAGACATTTGGTTGTAAGTCACTGTGTGGGTGCTGGGAATTGAACCCAGATCCCTCTGGTTGAGCAGGTAGTGCTCTTAATCACAGAGCCACCTGCCTGTCCCCCCTATACAGTAATTTTTTTTTTTTAAAAACATGTTTGAGAATATTTGAATGTGGTCTTAATATATCATTATTATTATTTTTCCTTCTCTTCCCTTTCTCCTCTCTTTTTCATTCTCCTCTCCCCCTCCCCCTACTTCTTGCTGTTTCTGTGCTAGAGCTAGAGCCCAGGGCTTGCTAGCCAAGTGCTAACCATTGAGCCACATGCCTGGCTCCAATAGGAACCTCCTGATTTACACTTTTGTTTCCTGGAAACTGCGGACTTTGCTCCTTTCCTTTTGGTCCAGAGGTTCAGTAGGGAGCACCCCCACCTTCCTACCTACTTTGCCTACTTGAATGGGTTTTGTTTTTCATAGCGATATGGATAATTTTCCCCCATAAACTCTGGTTTGATAAACTCTCTGGTTTGAGCTCTCAGCTCTGTTACTGTGCACTGCTGGCATCTAGTTGTGCTTCATCTCACTGTGCTTTATTTCTTTTGTAAGTACACGTATAAGTATATCTCCTTTGTCTGAGTATTGATCAGTGAGCGCAGAGTTGTATGCTCTTCTCTAGGACTTCCTGGAAGCTACAGAGTTGGCAGTTGGTTTTGTGTTTCAGGGCTGCCAATTGAATGCAAAGCCCAGCACCTCTGGGCCAGTGCTGGGGCAGGCTCCCACCCCAAACCTGTCGCTGATTATTTTTAGTCATGTTTATTCCATTTGTTTAGTTCATTTTTAGTCATGTTTATTCCTTTCAGGTCCTTTTCATCTGTACCTGAGAACTTTGAATCTTTTTAGTGCAGAAGTGAATATTTAGAATGAGAGATTATATAATATGTTGCAACTACTAAAAGCAGGTAATGCCATAAGCATGAAAAACATCCAGAGAGATAACATGTTCTTATCAGTTAAGTGTGCCTGACAGACACAGTTGTACTAAACTTTCCTCCCTGAGTTTTGGCTGCCTTCCACTTATGGATGGCCCGTGCACAGAGCAGTAATTTTCTGTTATTTTCTGTGGAGAGAGAATAGCCTTTTTCTCCTCTGTGACATGCTCATCATGCTTTTGTTTTGTTTTTTGACTCTAGAAAGTTTTCTTTAGCTTGTAGCTGGTTATCAATAGCATGGCATAAACTTCTGGGATCATGGTCAATTTGGGGAAAACTTCTCATTCTTTGCTGCATCCATTGTTGGTCTAGGGTACCTCTGAAGTCTGACTCTTGCTTGTGCCCCTGACACTGTTCTCCCTGGCTTGCCTTCGATTTTGCTTGATTTAGTATAAACCTGACGTTGCTTTGACAGTAGCTTTCTGTGGCCGAGCGCTGCATTCCTCCTGTCTTCTGGTAACTCTTGCCCATTCATGCTTTTGTTCTTATCTTTTGAGACAAGGTCTTCATTAACTCAGGCTGGCCTTATCCTCTTGATCCTCCTGCTTCTACCTCTGTAATGCTGAAATTGTGGGGACGGGGAGAGAGAGAGAGAGAGGGAGAGAGAGAGAGAGGGAGAGAAAGAAAGAACTTTTTATGGAGCAATTTTCCCTGTTTATTGTTTGAAATCCGTGTTCATTTTAACTCTAAGTCTGTAGCTACAGATAACGTCCCGTGCAACTACAAGCTTTCTCTTGAGAGAACAAAGATTGCTTAAGTATATGAGCGATGATGAGCTGCCACGTTTGGAATGCTGTCTCAGAGATGTGCTATGTGTATTATAAACTGAGCCCAAGAACAGACTCCAGAAGTTATGCTTGATCTGTGAGAGAAGCAGTTTAGTAAGGAGGGTCACGGTCTCACCAGTCCAGGTTAAACATCCAGACCAGGCCCTCCTCCGCCTGAGATCCGGAACTGTGGAACCTGTGTGTTTGTGGCCATGAGTGAGTGTCCTGCAGTATCTCGTAAGAACTCAGGTCCACTGTCATGGCAGCAGTCATTCTGTGACTTGGATCTGTTGGTTTGACGGAGTTGTGGAGAACATAATGTAAACAGTAGGGGTAAAAACTTATTAAAAAGCTGACAGAGGGTCAGAGAAATGTCTGAGCAGGTAAAGGTGCTCGCTGCCAAGCCTGATAAAGTGAGTTTGATTCCCAGAGCCCACATAATGGAAGAAGAGAACTTCTTCCACAGGTTGTCCTCTGGCGCTCACAGGCACACTGTGATACAGGTATCTGCACGTCTGCACATACCCACAGTAAATAAATAGATACATAAACAAACACAAGCAAACAAACAAAGCCAACCAGAATACCACCCTGTGAGATTATAAACGGCGAGACAAAAAGGTTTGAGAATAAATCTTATGTACATACCTAATGTGTCTATGTACTTATTGGAAGATAAGCGCTTGTGCCCTTAGCCGAGCCTGGCCTGGATCTGACAGACCTGCTTCAGCCTCCTGGGTGTTGGCATTATAGATGTGCGCCACTACACTTAGGTAAAACATTAAAAAAATTGTTTGTAATTGTGTGTATGTGTGTATGCGTGCTGGTGCCCACGGAGGCCAGAAGGTTTTATTCCCCTGGAGCTAGAGTTAGAGGCAGTTGTGAGCCATTGAACATGCATGCTGGGAATAGAAACACGCATGCTGGGAACAGAACTTGAATCCTCTGCAAGAACAGTACATGCGCTTAACCACCAAGCCATCTCTCCAGCCTGTGCACCCATGGTTTTTATGTGCATATTTATACAAACAGTTAGAGCAAGAGTAGAAGAGTTTGGTTTTACTTTCTGGTCTCAAAATGGTTCTTTTTATAGGCGGTTGGCTCGTTTTTTTCTCAGTCTTCCCAGCCTGTTTCCCTGCAGGTTCCCAGTCTCTCTACACAGATCCTCTTGCACCCTTTTTCTGAGATGTGGAGGGTTAGCTCACAACAACCATGATAGCTAAGCCTCCTGGGAAACTCCAGGTATGGAGAGATACACCCTCCTGAGGCAGAGCTGGGCAGGGTGCCTCTCTAGTTTCATAAGATGTTTTGAAAGACTGTGGTGTGGACTGACTGCTTAATGATTGATTCTGAGTTGATCTTGTCAGATCTATAATTTCAAGTCCCTGGGTGGAGCTTCTTCTGATCTTCATGTGCTTATCAATTTCTTATGCACTGATGGCAGATGGTACCAGGTTGCACTTGGCAGGGATGGCTGAGTGATGGGAGTCTCTGTGCCCTCCTGAGTGAGGGCTGCCTCACGTCCTCTCTTAGAGCAACTGAATTCCAAACTCAGACTAGTGACTGTGGGGTTTGGGGCTGCCTGGCCTGGAAGGATAGTGATACACACCTGTTTCCTCTGGCTTGGTGTGCTGGGCCCTGGAGCCTCAGGCTTAGCTTTGTTTTGTTTTGTTTTGTTTTTTTTCAGTCAGGCAGTTTTGATAGCAAATAGGAAACTCTCTTGAAAAAACAGTGCCAGTTCGTGTGTTGAGGCTGTGGGAGAAGTCTTGTGTAGTTGCCCGGTCTGGCCTGGCCCTTGATCTGCTCAGCTCCAAATAGCTGGGTTTACAGGCATAAGCCTGGCTTTATTTCAGATATTTTCAATTAGTAAACTTTGAATGGTCTTCTGGAGATAGTTTATGGATCTGGCTAGGTGATTTTTTTTTTTTTAACTTCCCTACTCTCACTTTGTGTATGTGTGTGTGTACATGTGTGGAAACTAGAAGGCAACCGCAGGTGTCATTCCCCAGGTGCCACCTTGTCTTTTGGAGACAGGGTCTCTCTTTGGCCTGGAGCTCATTGGGAGGCTAGCTTTAGGAATCCACCCATCTTCATGCTGGGACTGTAATATGTCTCCACTCCAGGCTCCATACATGTGGGTGATGGGGCTTGAACTCAGGTCCTATGCTTACAAGGCAAACACTAGGCCATCTCCTTAGCATCCCCTTCCCCCTTTTGTGATAGATTCTTGCTGTATCTCCTAGACTGGCCTTGAATTTTTGATTCCCAAGGGCTGAGCTTATCGGCATGGGCCACATTCCTTCCTGTACTGCCCTTTCATTTGTAGTTGGATCCAGGGTAGTCCTCCTGTCAGGTTTGTCTTCTCCTTTACTCTGTTATGGTCAGGTGGATCCTTCGTTAGTCTTTTAGACAGTAGCCTGCCTTTTTTCAAAACCCAGTTCTTGTTTGAATAAGCTTTTTATGTACATTTTCTTTGGTTCCCTTTTTTTCCTTTTCCTTTTTTTCTCTGGTACTTGTTTAACCCAGTGCTTTGCATATGATAAGGAAATGCTCTACCACTGAACTACAGCCACTGCTCAGTTTCCTCAGTATTGATTTGTAAAATCATTATGTGATTTTCCTTTTATTTTTGTATGCTCTCTGCTTTGTTTTGCTGTTGAGAGAGGATCTTACAGTGTTCCTCTGGCTGGCCTTGGTCTGCTATGTAGACCAGTCTGGCTTCAAACTCCCAGAGACCCTCCTACCCTAAGATTGAAGGCGTTCACCACCCTTAGTTCTTGTGTGTTTTAAGTTGTTCCAAGACCATTGTAGAATGGAGAGATGTATCAGTTGATTGGTCAGTGTTCACTGACCTGCTGTTTTTCTTTTCATTGTTCATATACTGTTAGCATACTTTTAAAAAACTCTTTTATTTACGTTTTTATATTTCTTTCTCCCTACTCCACCCCAATCCTTTCCAATACCTGAACGTCAGGTATGAGAGTAAAAGGGTTACTGGGATTGGGGGCACAGTCCTCCTAGCTGCCTCCTGCTGCTTAGGGTTGTCGGGGTCCTTGGAGCCACTCTAATCCTCGTTTCAGGAGATCTCCAACTTCTTGTCTTACTGCATCAACAGCAGCTAGGAGTTGCATGGGGGAAGCACCAGCAGCCTTGTTCTTTCTTGGAGCTCCTCAACACTCTCTGAGCTCTGGCATTTATTCTCTCTAAGGAGTCCTCAGAATTAAACTATCTGCAGCTGGCAAAGAACTCCTCTCAGAGCCCACACAAGGCAAATAGTCTGCTGCTGTGGACTATCTGAATCAGTCCCACATCCTATACCTGGACTAAAACAAAACCATATTCATATCCACAACAACATACTGTATAATCTGACCTTTACATTTTCTGTAGTGCGTGCTCTGTGCAGTCATTGCTATGTCTCCATGCTCATCATGGTCTTTCTTCCCAAAGGTTGCCGGGAGAGTAGCTGATGAAAGGGGTGCGGTGCTGGGCCATGAGGTGGGCTACTGCATCCGCTTTGATGACTGCACTGACCCAGTGGCGACAAGAATTAAGGTGAAGTTCTCAGAGTGACATTCAGAGTATGGATAAGGGAGGGGATTATTTTGGGAATCAGAGCATGTGCAGGCTAGGGCAGAAAGGTTCCCTAGGGACATCTTCTGTGAGGATCAGAGCTGTTTGAGTTTTAGCACAGGCAAGAATGCAGAAATAAGATTTATTTCTGGTCTACAGCTGACAAGGCCGAGCTTGGGAGGTCAGTGGTTTACCCTTTATGTGTTTGCTGGTGTCTGTGTGAGGAAGCAGAGTTCTCGTTTCTTATGCACACCTGGCTTTTTCAGCTGACTCTCATGCTGTAAATACAGAAACAAAACTGTACACAAACGTGGTGAACTGGTGTAAACCGGTACAGTGTGGCATTCATGGTGGTTGACTAGTTAGAACTGTCTAACATAATGGATTCTAACATAATGCACACTATGTCAAGTGGTACTTGACATAGTAGCTAATACTAAAGTAATTAGCATAATGCTGATTGGTGATAATCAGTTCAGCAGAGAGCCTCCTGCTCACCACTGTGTAGAACCAATCTGACTAGTGCAGTAGAACAGTGAGTATGGTGCTCTGATGAAATGAAGCTAGGTGCTTAGACCCAGGTGCCTTCCAGACTGGAACACGGGAATGACAGCTCTTGAGATGATCTGAGTGAACATGGTAGCCATTTGTAAGAAAATGGACCTTGGTTTAGTTAGAGTTTCTATTGCTGTGATAAAACCATATCCAAAAACAACTTGGGGAGAAACGGGTTCATTTTAGCTTACAGCTTACTGTCCATCATCCAGGGAACTCAGGGCAGGGCTGCCAGGCAGGGACGGAAGCAGAGGCCATGGAGGAGTGCTGCTTGCTCAGCCTGCTTTCTTACACACCCAAGGACCAAATATCCAAGGGTGGCAGTGCCCATAGCGAGCTGGGCCCTCTTCCTCCATCAATTTCTGGTCAAGAAAATGGCCACAGATTTGCTCACTGGTCAGCCTGGTGAGGGAATTTTCCCAGTTGAGGTTCCTCTTCCTAGATGACTGGAGCTTGTGCCAGGCTGACATAAAACTAACCAGGGCCCATGTTGTCTGGTAAAGGGAACAATGTGCTTATGCCTTCAGTTGTATGTAACCAGTTAACACTGGGTGGGTGATGTAGTCAGGTGATTCTTTGTGGGTCCATGAGAAACTCTGTCTGCTAAGACTGTCATTGGCAGAACTTTTTACGTTTACTTCTGTGGGGTTGTGACAGCTGGTACCAGGGCTAAGCAAACTATGTTGGAAACATATCTCACTTTTGGCGATGACACCGAGGGACATTCTTAGTCTTATTAATGCACTGACTTTGATTTGCTTGTTACTGCTCATTTCTGAAACATTTTATTAGTGTTTATTAATCTTACTTAGTGTTGACTGTAACTTGGTGAAATCATTGTATTATGTCATTTGACAAGTGGGGACTGAGGCTCAGAGATAGCAAACACGTGATCTGGGTATTCACAGCAGGGAGAAATAGGACACTGAGCTCCAGCAGGAGCCCGTGCTCTTAACTGCAGCTCTGTTGTTGAACATTGAGGTTGAAAACATGCTGAGGAGTTATCCCAGACTCACAGCGCATTTCATAGTAAATGATGGTAAACAGAGACTCACTGTTGACTGTACACTGACTGCTGTTGGTGCTAATTAACCGCTAGGGCAGGTAACCCAGAGATGGAGTCGAAAGGTCTGCAGTCCAGTATGGAATTGTTTTTTTGTTTGTTTGTTTCATTTCCAGATGAATAAAGCTGTTAGGTGTTCCTGCCTGTGCTCTCTGGGGTTGTTCTATAATGTGAACAGAGATTATACTTGACCTTGAATCATCAATGTAAATAAATTTCTCTATCTTTGTATTTTTATTTTTTAGTTCCTTACGGATGGGATGCTGGTCAGGGAAATGATGGTTGATCCATTGTTAACAAAATATAGGTAAATATGATTTCCTGTAATAACTTTCCAAAATGCACTTGTACACTGGGAATCAGTTGGGTTAGCAGCTGGGATTCGGGTCCTCTCAGCTGCCCCCAACTTCCCTCTTTCCTGATGGTGCCTCTTTCTGCCTGTGCTGGATGGTGATACCTCTTACAGGTAGCAATAGTGAGTACATAAAGGAGACAGAAAAGAAACCTGGACAGAAGAAGGCCCATGCACATTCACTAGAACGCCTGCTGGTTTGTCTTTCTTCATCTTGCCTCTGACATGCTCCAGGAATTGTTTTTAACTATAGAGCGCAGCCCAGCAGAGACATGACTAGCCAGTGTTGGGGTCCTCTACTCCTTTTTTATTTTGTAATGGTGGGTATGGAGTTTGGGGCCTCGCATGTGTTAGGCAAGTGTCCCACTTCTGCCCTCTGGACAGGGTTCTGTTGAATGTGGTACGCGAAGTCCAGATGAGGGCTTAGCTTCTCCTCCCTCTGTACCCGTTTCCAGGAGCACTAGTGTTGCCACAGCTTATTTGAGGGATGGCATCCCATTCCAACTCCTGGCACATGTGTTTCGAGGCTGTCATCCCCCCTCTCTGGATGTTCTCGTGGCTTAACATCTTTTGAGGTGTCTAGGATTTGTTATTTAATGTGTTCTGTGGTATTATAGAACATACATAACCAGTTAGAACCAGCTAACAAATTCTGCTGGGATCCAGGGTGGGTAGTGTATTTCCTTTGCAAATAGTGTATCATCATTATTTTCATTAATATTGTTGAAACCATGTGTTCCTAGCCTAGAAATGACATCACTGGTAAAGAATGACTTGGGTCTTCTCTTAATTTGCTATCATTACGTGGGGGTTGAGTACCCAGAGGTCTCTCTGGTGGTCGGTCGGATTTTCTGGGGTGTTGTTCCAGTGCTCACTGAGAGTGTCCCTCTGATTCTTAGTGTCATCATGTTGGATGAAGCCCACGAGAGGACCTTATATACCGACATTGCTATTGGCTTGCTGAAGAAGGTAAGACTCCACTGCCAGCATTTTGTTTCTGTGTTTTTGTATTGTTGCCTGGTTAAGAAAGTAATTATAGCAATTTGGAAAATGTAATAGATACAAAGAGAAAAAAGTTATCTCATCATCCTACCCATTTAGAGAAAAAATACGAGCCAAATGTGGGGGTGTTTTCTTTCTGTCTGTGTTTGTCTGTGTATATGTTTTGACACAGGTTGGATGATATGTGCTAATTTGTATCTTGCACGTTTAATATTAAGATCATTTCTTTTCACCATGAAATAGTCTTTGAAGACGTGATTATTATTTTAAAGATTTTGTATTTATGTTAAGGGTATGTGTGTGCCTAAGTGTGTATTGTGTACCACATGCATGCAGGTATCTGCAGAGGCCAGATTAGGACCTCAGGTCTCTGAGAAATGGAGACAGGTAGTTGTGAGCTGCCTGATGTGTGTGCTGGGAGCAAGAAGAGCCAGTGCTCTTAACTCCTGAGCCACCGCCAAGCCCCTGACAGGGTTTTCAATGGCTATGTAGTGGCTACTGGTGTCTTCTGCATTTTTCCTGTACTGTTAGGCATGCCTAAATATGTGTCAGGTCTTGTGGCATTGAGCACTCTGTAATTAAATATGCTGCACTTCCATTTCTTTCCTCTTTTTAACTATTTTCAAAGGTGTTTCAAACATACCTCGGAGTAGAGGTGTTTATGACCTTCTTTGTTCACTATCTAATTTTAGCCGTTACCTCCACTCTCTCTCATTCCTACCCTTAATGCTATTTTTTTTTTTTTATTTGTTGTTTTTCTCTGCGCAAATCCTCAATTGCAAGAGTCTAGAAAGAAGTTGTAGATTGGGATGACCAAGAACTATGGCCCTGGGAAGACTGCCTGTGTGCAAATTTGGACTGCCAAATGTATGCATCTCCAAACCAGTGGCTCTGTGTCTCTGTGGCTATGAGCCCATAGTGTAACCATTAGCCACCTGGGGGTGTTTAACAATTTGATCTTTCTTTCATGCTAGTGTATTTTAAAGGCTTTTCATAGCCACATGTGGCTAGTGGCTACGGCTTGAATAGGGTAGACTAGGAACTGTTTCTTGGGGCAGACCTCCTGGATGTTGTAATTTGTCATGAGGCTTAAGTAAGGCAACACAAATCTTAGGATGACATCATACGTATTCCTTTCTACAAATAAGAAAAGGAAGCCTCTCTGTGACTGAGTCTGTTGACAGTGAAGTGAGGGGAAGGTGAGTTAGGTTTCACATGCTTGCCACCTCCTCAGCCTTGCATCTCGGTGTGAGTGCACATTGCATGACTCTGTTTGTCTCCTGAAGCGGCACATGACTAGGAGGAATACATAAGCTGCCTTCCTTTGGCTGATGATCAGACTTTTTGATATGTATGAGGAATTTTCTCACTCGGTTATCCCCACTAGGGACAGTGTGGTAAGAGGGCAGTTCTGTCCAGGCCTTACCAGGGTTGAGTAGCCTTACATGGCTGTCCCTGAGGATGGTAGATGTGCTAGGCCAGGTAACCACATTTCTTTGAATAACTCTTAGTGCCCATATTGCTATCTTGGTACCACCATTTGTTATTTCTGGGTTTAATGTACTTTTTCATACTTCTGACTATGAATGCATTCACACTAACCCAAAACCCACATGTGAGGAAAAATTATTTTTAATAATTTCAAATTCAGTCCTTAAATTGAGGGTTAGAGTTAGACAACGGGTTAGGGTTAGAGTAAAAGTTTTAAATTACCTTTATATTTTGCATAAATTTTTGTTGGGTCATAATTTAGAAAATTCTGTACATTTTCAAAATCAGGAAGAATTATCTACCTCACATTGGCTTGTGACATAAACAGTATTTTCGTCTCACTGATAAGCCTCCTTGTTTTGAGACAAGGTTTCTGTCTAGCCGCAGCTGGTCTTAAACTTGTGATCCTCCTTCCCGTCTCCTGCCTGCACAGTTTACAGGCCTGTGTCACCGTGCCTGCCTACGAACTGTACATTATGGTTCCACTGTAGTCACCATAGTTTCCCCATGCCTTCTTTTTCAGATTCAGAAAAAGCGAGGCGATCTTCGCTTGATTGTGGCCTCAGCCACTCTGGATGCAGAGGTAAGGCGTCTCTCCTTTTTCTTCTGCATCAATACTGGAATTGACAGACATAACTTTGGGAATGCACCTCCTGCCAAAGCGTGGCTGCGGCAGAGTGACCTGTCTCTTTTGGGGCCATCTGGTACTCTAGATGTCACACGATGCTCCTTCTTAATTGAGTAGAAAACAGCCTGTAGGTAACCCAGGGGGTTGATGATCACCGACTTCCTTTTTTCTGTCTCTGCTATTCTCCTGACATGGGCAGCATCTTTTTAATTACTAAAAAGGCTATATTTTTTAATTTATTTATGAAAATTATGTACTTTCTTTAATCTTTATTTATTTATTTATTTTTTGGTGCAATTGAAGTTTCTCATCTAACAAGTAGTAATTTCCATGTTAAGTGGTTTTTTTTTTTTTTTTTTTTTTTTTTTTTTTTTTTTTTTTTTTTTTTAAATTACTTTTACTTTTTCTATGAGTGGTGAGAGCATACGTGCCATGGCAGAGGTCAGAGGAGAGTGGTGGAATCAGTTCTGTCCTTCCACCATGTGGGCCCCAGGGATGAAGGGCATCAGGCTTGGCAGTAGGCATCTTTACCAACCAAGCCATTTCTTTGGTCCCTATGTTTTTATATGGCTGATGTACTCACTTGATGACTAATATTTTACTTAATAAAAAAAGTTCAACTGAACCTCATTCTTTTGGCCACTTGCTGTTATATATATATTCTACATGCTAAGCCTCCTGCTAGCTACAGGTGCTCCACAGATCTCCTGAGGCCAGGGAAGACAGCCCATAAATAGGTATTCAGTGTGTAAAGGTGTTCAGGTAACCTGGAAGGCTGCTCCAGCCAGACGAGAGTATCAGGAAGTTGTCACCAAAGGTGGCATTTCAGCAGGTTTTGAGATAACATGGCCCTTTTCTTCATGGGCAAGGGAGGAACAGGGCTCCCTGACCATGTGGGAGCCAGAAGGAATCATGAGTTCTGGAAGCTACCAGAACTCTGTCTGCCAGCTCCCTCCCCAGGAATGCTCCATCCCCAGGGGTGCTCCAACCCCAGGGTGCTGCACCCTCAGCCGCTGCTCTGACTTCATCTCCTTCCACTCTGTCTAGTGTTCTTTGTGTACCAGCTCCACTGGTCCCCTTCTAGTCTCCTGAGAAAACCAGGCTTCTCCTTGGGATGAGGTACGATTTTTTCCCCAGTCTATTTTTCTTCCAGACATCCCTGTGGCTCGGCCAGCATTTTACTCTGGTTTTAGAGGATCTCACCTCTTCAGTGAAGAAGCCTTCCTTTAAGGCCTCACCCCTGCTGTTTCCATCTGCTTGCAGAGCTTTGTGTGTGTTTCAGTTGCACTGATTTAGATGCATGTTCAGGAATTGCTTGAATCCTTGAAGACTGAGACTGTCTTTCTCACTTTCTCATGATTGTTTCCCTCTTGCCTTTCACGGGGTAGTAGGTAGGGCAGTAACTTACCCATATTTGGGGCCCAGGAAGATCATTCTTGTGCTGCGTTGAGACACAGGAATAGCTATGGAGATAGCTGCCAGTCAGGAGGCCAGCTCTGGCTTTCAGGTGAGATGTGGTGAGGGTCTGGCCCCTGCCTTGTTCCCTGTCTCCCTATGGGTGGAAGAATACACACTGGCTTGGTGAGAGGTGCCTGCCTGTGTATCCAGGCTGGCCTGTCAGCTTTTCACAGGCTGTTGGAGCTCTGGGCTTCAGGCTGCCTATGATTACCTCTGGGTTTGAGTGCATTGTTCCCTTGCGTTAGCTGTCATCTCTGTCACCATGATGTCTGCTGGAATGTTCTCTGGAGGTGTTGTAATTTCATTTCTGATGCTGTGATAACATACCTGGCAAAAAGCAACCTAGAAACGAAAGCATTTATTTTAGCTTTCAGAGAGAAGTAAATTCATACCTGCTTACTTCAGCTCACTTTTTCCTACTTTGTTTAAACATATAATAATTAAAAAGAAGTTTACTTTTATGTGTATAAGTGTTTTGCGTGCACGTTTGCCTTTGCACCACGTGTTTTCAGTACCCATGGAAGCCAGGAGAGTGTTGGATCCCCTGGGACTGGCGTAACGGTTGGCTGTGAGCTGCCCTGTGGGTGCTGGCAGTTGAACCCTGGTTCTCTTGACTCACTTAAGCCAGTGCCCTTAACCTGTGAGGCGGCTCCCCAGCCCCACCTTTCCAGCTCATGATGGGCTTGAGTCTTCTCCCATCATATAATATAATCAAGACACCCCCTCCCCTCCTGACAGACATGCCCACAGGCTGACCTGATCTAGACAGTCATTCACGGAGAATCCTTTTTCCCAGGCGGTTGTAGACGATGTCAAGGTAGCCATTGCAGGAGGAGTCTGACTCGCCTCTGCCTCACTCCATTGCGGTCCAGCTGCACAGCTCATCTCTGTTGTCTTTTCACGTTCGTCTTTCTTAAAAATTATAAGCTGAAAAACTGTTCCAAACCGTTTTAGTAGTGGTGAAAAATATGATGTTCAAGTCCTCCCCTCCTTAGGCTCACTAATTAACAAGTATGAACTGCTTACTGATTCCTTTCATCGCCTTTTTTTTTTCCCTTTATTTCCCTCTTCCCTTTTCTTAATCTTAACCCCCATACATCCTCCTTGCTCTCTTTCAAATTCATGACCTTTTTTAAAAAATTAATTGTTGTTACATGCATCTATGTTTATGCATATATATATTCCTAAATATTCCCTGCTTAGTATGGTTCCTGTATGTATGCTTTCAGGGCTGACTCTTTGTCATTAAAAAAACAACTGGTGTGCTTTTCCCTGGGGAAGACTATTTCTCCTGCTCTCACTATTCCTTAGTTGCCTGGAGTTTTTTGTATAGGGTTGAAGCTTCATGGTCTTTCTTGTCCTTGTTAGCATGTCTGTTGTCCTTGTTCAGCTCATGTTTAGGCAGTCGTGTTGGTGAGACTTTATGCGTGTGTGTAGCTTCTGATATTACTTGGAGACACAGTCTCACAGAAAACTCTCTGGTGCTCTCCCTCTTCCACAGTGTTCCCTGAGCCTCATGTGCAGAGGGTCCTTTTAATATGGTGTCAAGAGTGTCTTTTAATGTGCCTCATTAAGTCTGTAGTAGTTGATGTAGATGATTTCCCCAAATCTTTGTGAATTGAAAGGGAGAGCCGAGATTTGTCATTCCTTGGCTTGTTTTGATGTAAGGCATGCTGGAACTTAAGCAGTACTCACCTGGGCCCAGGGTGAGCTATAGGCCGTTCATTCCTTTCTCTCTCTTCCTTGGCTGGACTTCCAGTGCCTATTCCTAAGGGGAGTGTTGAAGGGAGACAGCAGATGTGGGTCTCTTGGCTTAAAGTATGGGATGGGTAGATGTCTGTGTGGGTGTGATATCTGCATTTTTAAGTTAGAGGAAGAGGATGTGAGTAGGCTGAAGAGGCCTGGAGTGAGGAGCACAGGCCGAGTTTGGCTTACCTAGCATTTGGATCTGGAGGCCCAAGGATGCTCTGGGTTCATTTTCTGGTCCAAGTTGCTGTGTCTGTAGGGGACAAACTCTAAATGTATAATGTTGTGACAGGCCACTGGCTCGGGGGGATGGCCCAGCCTATAGAAGAGACACTCCACATCAGGGAGGCAGAGAAGCTGGAGGCCGATTGGATAGTTGCCTCGATTTGTTTAGTGGCCCCATTTGTAGATGCTTGGTTAGGAGAGCAATCACGCAGCAGGTGTGATTGCAGAGTGCTCCTTCACCCTCGTATCACAGTCTTCTCCTCAAGCCTGTGGATGTGATGGAAGCTAGGCTGCAGACAGTTCCCTCTGTCAGAGGTCTGATTATTTGTAGGGAGATTAATTTCTCTCCTCCATCAGTCCTGGTGAAGGATCTTGATTCCTCTGGGGATGAGTTCCCATTGGATCAGTTAGCATGGACAGGTCTTGTTGGTGTGGGTGGGCATTGGGGAGGGCATAGACGTGGCTGCTGGGAGCTCTCCTGTGTGGGCCAGGTGGGAGCAGCTCCCAGCACAGGAAGCTGGAATGAGCCTACAGATGGCCCTGCAAAGGCTCACATCATTTCCATTGGTCTCACAGACTGTCCTTCCTTTTCGTCTTGTTCCATTTCTTAGCTCTCTCAGATTCTTCCAGGTGAGGGCCTTCACTTCTCTCTCCTTGATTCTGCCTCAAGATTCATGCACTCTTGAGAAATAGTTACTGACCTTTCAAGAAAAAAATTATTATTACTATTTATTTTATGTGTATAAGTATTTCGTCTGCATATATATTTATATACCACTTGCATGCTTAGTGCCGTGGAGGTCAGAACAGGGCATCAGATCACCTGTCACTGCAGTAACAGACAGTTGTGGGCTGGAAATGGAATGTAGGTGCTGGGAATTGAACCTGGGTCCTCTGGATGAGCAGCCAGTGCTCTTAACCCCTGGGCCATTTCTCTAGCTTTTATCTGTAAGTTCCAAATGAAGATACAGCATGAAAACCTTAAGGACACAGACCTTGTGTCTCTCAGTACATTCGGAGTAGTCTTTAGGAACGGAGCTCCTGGTTCTTACTCCTCAGCTCTTCCAGCAGCAGGGAATCAGCCGTCCATTCCATCTGGTAAACCTGACCTCACTCACTGTTGTACGTGCCGTGGTGGTAGCTGAATCCCGCAAGTGCTTAAGTGTGCCTCCTGCAGCCCTGGACCCTGTTGTCCCTGCTCTTCCTGCGTCACTCACTTCCTCCTGGGAGTCCTGAATCTCCACTCCTTTTCCTCAAGGCTATCCACTCCTTCCTTGGCCCCTGGCTTAGCTGACACTGCGTAATGGTGACAGTCTTGAGTGTGTTGCTTGTATCTGCATTTGTTGTTTCTGAGCTATTTGGGAATGTTCAAATGCTCTGGCTGGCTCTGGCCAGTTCTCATAGTCATGGTAATTCAGGCCCAAGGTCTCCACTGCTGAAGAAGTTTCTTCATTGATTAAGAAGGATTCTGTCCTGTTCTGTGTCAACATGTATATACACATGATTGGAGAAGACACTGTTCATGCCGTCAGATGTGCAGAAATCTGTTGGGAAGTTATAGTAAATATGTATCAGAGACACGCCTACTATGCAAGAAGGAAACCTTTATGAATTGATAGCCTTGTATGATTACATGTATGCTTTCTCCATTAGAGCTGTCCACCAGTCTCATTTAACCTGTATCTCCATTAGAGCTGTCTACCAGTCTGATTTAACCTGTATCAAACTTGAGTAACATGTAACTTTCAGCTAAATAAAATAGAAGGATGGGAATAGAGTAGCATCACAGCTACATGTCAGCTTTGGTTCATTGAATTTTAATCTTTATTTTTAGTCAAACCTTTACAATCTGTAATTGAAGTTTCCCCTGCACCCCTCCTCAGTTTCCAAGTGGGTTCCCCAGTAAGGTGGGTAGGGGCTGTCTCTGACATGAACTCAGTGGCCTGCTCTTTGATCACCAACTCTTGGGAGGGGTGCAGCCTTGCCAGGACACAGAAGATGATGTAGCTCTTATGAGACCTGATAGGCTAGGGTCAGATAGAAGGGGAGGAGGTCCTCCCCTATCAGTGGACTAGGGAAAGGGCATAGGGGGAGAAAAGGGAGGGAGGGTGGGACTGGGAGGAGATGGAGGGGTCTCCAGCTGGGATACAAAGTAAATAAATTAAAATAAATAAATAAAAATTAAAAAAAATTAAAAAATTTCCCCTGCAATTTCCGTAAGAGAAGATTACATTTAGCTGGGTGTGGCAATGCATGCCTATAGTCCCAGCATTCAGGAGGCAGAGACAGGAGGATCGTGAGTTTGGGTTCAGCCTGGGCTGTGTAGAGTTTCAGGTCTGCCTGAACTGAATATCATGGCCCTATCTCAACAAAGTAAAGCTGGTCCATGGGGAGATGGCCTGATGGAATTGTAAAAGAAAAGAAAGAAAATTGTGAATTTAGAAAATCAAATTTGAACATAGGAGTCTTTCCTAAGACACATACTCCAACCAAGTACCATGCATGGAGATAACCTAGAACCCCTGCACAGATGTAGCCCACGGCAGTTCAGTGTCCAAGTGGGTTCCATAGTAATGGGAACAGGGACTGCTTCTGACATGAACTCAGTGGCCTGTTTTTTGATCACACCCCCCTGGGCGAGGGCAGCATTACCAGGCCACAGAGGAAGACAGTGCAGCCACTCCTGATGAGACCTAACAGATTAGGATCAGAAGGAAGTAAAAGAAACCCTCCCCTACCAGTGGACTTAGGGAGGGGCATGTGTGGAGAAGGGGAGGAGGGAGGGAACTAGAGGGGGGAGGATACAAAGTAAATAAAGTGTAATTAAAAATAAAACAAAATAAAAATTAAAAAAAAAGAAAATCATTTTGTGTGATGTGATAGTCCATACTTGTAATCCCAGCACTAAAGAAGTGGAGGCAGGAGGATCAGGAGGTCAAGGTGAGCCTCAGCTACTTAGTGAGTTTGAGGCCAGCTGGAATCCATGAGAACCTGTCTGTAAAATAAAACAAGCTATTCTGCAGAGTGTAATCTTTATTGTATGTGTCTAACTCCTCTACTATTCCACTTCTACCAGCTTAATATTTTCTTCCTATGGCTTACTGTGAGCCGTCCTCTTTTTCTTCTTTCTTTCTTTCTTTCTTTCTTTCTTTCTTTCTTTCTTTCTTTCTTTCTTTCTTTCTTTTCTTTCTTTCTTTCTTTCTTCCTGGTGACTGTGAATAATATTTATGTATTATTTATTTTTAGAAATTTCGAGATTTCTTTAACCAGAATGAAACCAGTGACCCAGCCAGGGATACCTGTGTGACCCTTACGGTGGAAGGACGGACATTTCCAGTGGACATCTTTTACCTACAAAGGTTTGGTAATGCTTGATTCTTGGTGATGCTGATTGGGACACAAGCTAGAGTCATCAGAGAGGAGGAAGCCTCAACTGAGAGAATGCCTCTCTAAGCTTGGGCTATAGGCAAGCCTGTGGGGCATTTTCTTAATTACTGGTTGATGGGGAGGTCCCAGCCCATGGTGGGTGGTGCCATCTCTGACTGGTGGTCCTGGGTTCTATAAGAGAGCAGGCTGAGGAAGCCATGGGGAGCAAGTCAGTAAGCAACATCCCTCCGTGGCCTCTGTATCAGCTCCTGCCCTCAGATTCATTGTTTGAGTTCCTGTCCTGACTCTGTTCATTGATGTACTGTGAGTTGGGATATGTAAGTCATGTAAACCCTTTCCTCCAGCTTGCTTTTTGTCATAGTGTTCCATCACAGCAATAGAAACCCTAACTTGGGCAGTGGCTTTCTGCACTGAGACTGCAGCCCTTTGGTTTTCTGTGACATGGCATCTTTGCACGGTGAAGATAAATAATTTATATACAACTCCCGTCAGCCTTACTGCTTTATTCTTCCAGCTGAGATAATGCCCACATACACATGTACATTTGCATAGCAGTATCAAGACTGAATTCAGCAATGATGCTGGTCCAGGTTCCAGAACATTCTATCTTCCAGAATTTTCTTTATTTCATAACAAATACAGCTAAAAACCATTGTTCATCTGTAATTGTGTATAGAAGTACTGCATTTAATGTTGTTCTTTTCTTTCTTGTACTGGGGATTGAACCTGGGACCTTACAAGTGTTAGTTAGGGAAGCACTGTATCACTCAGTTCTTGGTTGCTGCATTTTAAAAAAAGTGTATATTTATTTTACTTACCATATGCTAATTACCTGCTCGGCTGGCCCAACTTAATTCTAATGAAGTTTGACTGCCAGGTTATTAGACTAATTGATCTGTGATTAATGAGCATGTTCCAATGATGATCTTTTTCCTTACACATTTTTCCCAGTCCTGTTCCAGATTATCTCAAGGCAACCGTGGACACTGTGGTGAAGATTCACCAGACAGAGGGAGATGGAGACATACTAGCCTTTCTTACTGGCCAGGTAACCCCACCTAGTCTCTCTGCATAGACATGTTAAGGCAACACTGGCATTAACATAAAACCTTGTTCCTAGTCACTTGCTTTTTTTTTTTTTTTTTTTTTTTTTCTTTTTCCGTTTTTATCTTTTAAAAATACATATGGGTGTTTTGCCTGCTTGATGTCTGAGGAGGTCAGAAAATATTGTCAGATCTCCTGGAATTGGGGTTACAGATGTTTGTGAGCTGCCATTTGGGTGCTGGGAATTGTACCCAGATCCTCTGGAAGAGCAGCCAGCCCCCTTGTGTCATGTTTAATTGTATTTTGTTGTTGCTAAGTTTCATTAAAATAAAAAATTGTTGGTTTGATATCATTTGTCTACCATCTAGATTGTCGGGTCATTAACTCATTCCTATTCTGTCTGTAGAGGGTAATTTTTTTTTTTATTTAAATTTTATGTGTATGTGTGTGAGCCCTTGTGTACGTGGGTGCATGTGCCCCGGAGGCCATAAAAGGAGGGTGTATGTACTGCAGTACAAGCTCTTTACCACTGAGCCATCGCACCTGTTCCTCATTGTTTTTATTTATGGCAACTCTTTATTAACTACATGGTTTAGTTTTGCTGTTATTTGGTGGCGTTTGGTTATGTGTCATCCTGAGTGGGACATGGCAGCCCAGCGGCCTCTGAAGGTGACCACAGCTGAAGCCCTTGTTCCAGCATTTGTTCTTTCAGTGTGATAGCATGATCAGCTTCTTTGCTTTCTGGTTCCGAGTTTAGGAAGAAGTAGAAACTGTTGTGTCCATGCTGATTGAGCAGGCTCGGGCGCTGGCTCGCACTGGGATGAAGAAGCACCTCCGGGTTCTCCCCATGTACGCAGGACTGCCTTCTTTTGAGCAAATGAAGGTGTTTGAAAGGGTGTCACACAGCGTCAGAAAGGTGGGACTCGTAGTCATCAGTGGTGCCTGCAGCCCCATGTTGGCTCCCCTTTATACTGCGAAATTTTTTTGGTTTTGTTATGTGAATGTATCAGTGGTGTGTTCATGTATGTGCATGTTTGTGAGTGTTGTTGTGTGTAAGCGAAGGCATATGACACTGTCCATCTGTGGAGGTCAGAGGACAGCCTGTTTGAGGTAGCACCTCTGTTTGCTGCTGTGGCTGCCAGGATAGCTGGCCTACAAATGCTGGGACCTCTTCTGTCTCTGCTTCCTCTCACTGTAGGAGCTCTGGGTTTACAGTCACATGCTACCCCTGCCTGGCTTTATGTGGGTTCTGGAGGCTCAGGACACTTGCGGCAAATAGCACTTTCCCTATTGAGCCACCTCCCCAGTCTCTGTTTTATTTTTTTTAATCCTTGCTAAACAGGACTTTTTTTTCAAATATGACGTCCATGCTTGTATACAATAGATCTAAAAGACTATAATAGATAATGCACTGTGAGGATTTCTAAACCTGCACAGAGAAGGGCCGCGCTGACAGTAATTATCAGAGCAGGTCGCTTGTAGCTTTTCTTTGTCTGCCTAATCTTTTTCACAGCACATTATCACCTTAGCCTCAGAGGCTGTCATGGTGGGTTGTGTTCAGTCAGAACTAGATAAAATTATTAGCAGTGGTTCCTACAGCATTTGTTACGAGTATCAGTTTTCCCTTAGAGTTAAGGTTAAATCAGGGAAATATTTAGCCTTGAAATTAGGTGAGAATGGGTGTGGTGGCAAGAAGCATTGGACGGGAGGAACCAGGGGCCTGATCTCTGCCCCCTTTTTATCCTTTTTCCTCCCCTAGATGAGGAGTACATGGCAGATGCTCAGAGTGAAGTAGGTGAGAGATGGTCTGGGTCTGAGGACCCACTCCCAGCTTCAGGCCACTTGGTGTGGAACAAGTCAAGTCTGCCTAGTAAACATGAACTGGTAAACATGCAGGCCTGGGTTCCACCTGCAGTTGCTATGTGCCTTTCCCTAGTTACTTAGCTTCAGCTCTCAGATTTCCTAGCTGTAGAACATGCATAATTAAGCATTTTTATTACGTTTATTTATGCGGGGTTAGGGGAGGGCACATACGTGCCATGTGCACATGTGGGGGTCCAAGTGTACTTATGGGGGTCGGTTCTTTCTTGCACCATGTGGGTCTCAGGGATTGAACTCAGGTCCTCAGGTTTGGCAGCAGGTACCCGTACCTACTGAGCCATCCCTCATGCATCAGCAATAGCTTTTAGATAGAAGGCTTTATAATATAAAATCGTGGCCCTCTACTATATAAAAATAGGAAGATTTTGATAAAATGATTTTATAAAATGTAAAGTGCTTGAAAAAGTTGTGTGTGTTTTATATGCACATCTCCAGCTGTGTCATACCCAGCAGAGACAGCTGGCAGATACTCAAGGTAGCCAGAGACTGCTGCACAGGAGCTGGGCCCTCCTTTGTCCCCAGGCTTCTTGTATAGGGTCTGTGTTGGCTGTGCATGCTTCCTCTGTGGCATTTCTCTCTGGTCTGTAGGCTTGGCTAGTTCCTGTCAGTAAGTGTCAGCTCACATTCATCTTTCAGGGATGTTTTCCCTGGACAGCCAATGTGAAGGGAAAACTTTGTTATATAATATGTAATATATAACATGTGGTATATAATGGCACATATGCTATTATATATGCACACACACTCACACCCACCAGGTTGTGCTTTTTTCCTGGTACCTATTGTTCTCTGAAGTTATTTGCTTGTTGGAAAAACAGATACTGTTGAAGTTACCATGGGCTCAGTATCCTCCTTGACAATCCTGGGGGAGCAGTGGTCATACTGTATGCATGAGGAAGTAGTACTCATGAGCTTGGAGAAGCTGTATATGGTTATAGAACCAGAACATTCTTACCCAGGGTCCTGACTCTTCAGCTCCTGCCTAGCAGCATGATGTTTGAGATATCATATCTCTTTAAGGTCTTTAAACTTAATTTAAAGTAGAAAGAACTAATCAGCTGTCTTTCTTTTTTTGGTAGGTGATCGTGGCCACCAATGTGGCAGAAACTTCCATCACAATCAGTGGCATTGTGTATGTGATTGACTGTGGCTTTATGAAGATTCGAGCCTACAACCCCAGGACAGCTATTGAATGCTTGGTGGTGGTACCAGTGTCTCAGGCGTCAGCCAACCAACGGGCAGGCCGTGGTGGGCGCAACCGCTCGGGGAAGTGTTACCGTCTTTATACAGGCATGTATGGTATTTTACAACTTTGGATTTTATTAGAGTAGTCTGGGCTTTGGATCACTGGGCAGACATTTATTCCTCATGGCAGAATTCACCATCAAATCCAGCTCTGCCTCCTAGGGCCCCCACTGCTTCCTTTCTCCTTTGCTGGGACTGCCGGGCTGGCTCTGGGAGCCACTGTGTACCTACCACCTCTGTTCTAACCTAGTGTTGGGCCTCGTGTCAGACCCCTGAGCACAGGCTTGTGCATCAGCTGCTGTCTTTCTTACTTTCTGCTTAATGTGCCATGTTCTTATCCTCAACTGCTGAACCCAGTGGCAGCTCTCATCAGATCCCTGTGGAGACTCACTCACACACAGCAGATAGTTGGCACACTCTGGATCATTCGCCAGAGTGAAATTCTGGTAGACAGTCCTGGCCCTTAACGAGCTTTCCTCTGAGCCTGCTGACATTGGTAAACACAGATACCATGATGCTCTAGAGCTGCTGTTTCCTATGTATCTATGTTGGGAGTGGTACTGAGACCCCCCCCCCCCGCCCTGTGCGTGCGCCTTCCTATTGCACAGATGAATTTCTAAGTCATTAATTCCCTCCTCTATCTAGTATCCACCTATAGTTGCTTAAGAATGGAGGGCTAAGCACTGCCATCCCTTTTCCTGTTACCATAATCCTTACACAGTCATTGATGTGTGTATGTGTGCGTGTGTGTTTGCACATGCGCCTCTCGTTTTCTCTTTTCCTCTGTGGGTTATGGAACTCTGGATCTCATCACCCTTGAATTTCACACCTAGCGTCCTTTCTTTCAGCATGTCATCAGGGCCTAGGGCGACAGGGCTCAGTAAGCTGTGGGCTGTGGCTACCTTGAGGATTGTATGGCAGTAGAGGCAGACCCTACGGCTTAGCATGCTGTGCTGTGCTAAGTGGCTATAGAGGAAAGGGGGGCTCTGAAGCAGAGAGGGTGCGCTCTGCCCTGCTGGGAGCTGGGGAGCGGGGAGTACCTCACAGCCCAGGCAGTATTTGAGCCTGATCTTATTGGCAGCCCAGGCAGTCCACGTGGAGAGTGTGGGGCAGTGGAGCCTGGGCTTCAGAACACGAGGGAGAGAGACTGAGGTGGCCGAGTATAGTCTATTATGCACATACACGGTCTTTCCATTCATCGTTTACACTGTTTCTCTTCGGCTCTGGGGATTAGTGGTGCTGGACGTAAGCACGTGAGTGGACTTGGGACATGCAGAGAAACCTTTAATTCTATGAGGAATTGCAGAGTGGTAGGAATAGTTAAGTGTGTGTTTAGCTTTTTAAAGAATTTTTGTTATTGTTTTTGAGGTAGGCTTTCTCTGGAGCCCAGGCTATCCTCAGACTCAGATATCCCTACCTTTGTCTCACAAGTGCTGGGACTTAACGACATTTTGTGTAATTTCATTTTGTGTGTTTTGCCTGCATGTCTGTGCACCGCATGTGTACCTGGAGGTCAGAAGAGGCGTTGCATGTCTGGATTAGGAATTACTGATGATTCTGGCGCTGCCATGTGGGTGCTAGTGAACTGAACTTGGGTCCCCTGCAAGAACAGAACCACTCTTAACCACTGAAACATCTCTCCAGCTGCAAATCAGATTATTTTTAAAGTGGAAATGGGCATCAGCATTTCATGTGTCAAAGAAATCATGTGATAGGACATGAACTGCAGCTGGGCAGGTGGATTTGGGTGAAAGGTCAATCCAGCCCTTAGCTTTAGCAGCTTCAGCATGGTGTGGTTGGGAAGGGCCAGGAATAGTAACCAGTGTGTTAGTGCCCGACCTTCAGATTCTCCTGAGTTTCAGAGTACAGCTGTTCATTACTCAGATCATTTAGTTTTCCAGAACCTTCCAAGACTTTTCCTCAGGTCCTCGGCTCTCGCTTCCTCTGTGCCGGGTTCTCAGACACACCCTTTGCTTCCCACTTCTGCCACTCATACCTCTAATGCCTTGGGCTTGTCTGTCTTTGTCCAGCGGATCCTCCTGCTGCTCTTGGCAGGGTAGAACCTTTTCCCCAGTCTCTGCTCTCCTCCTCCCTGAGGCTCCCATGGTTCATGGCAGGCACACGTGTCTCCGTTAGGACTGTTTTGTGGTCTTGATCCAGGTCCTTCCTGCTTCTGAAGGTTCTTCGGGGCATTTCGTGTGGCTTCTGCAGCTCCTGGTCTGCCCCAGGCTCTGGGGGACTTCGCAGCCCCTGAGTGCCATCACGTGTTCATCTCTGAGCAGCAACATCTGCTTCCGTCAGCATCTTCTTGGTGGGCCGACCTCTCAGCTACCAACTTGTTTCTGCCACAGTCAGTGGTGTGCTTGGGGAATGTGGTCGTCCTGGTAACAGTACTGTATCCACAATGTTTTTAAAACTAAGCAACTTCCTTTCCTGCTGTTGTCTACCACCTAGAACCTTCCAGCTAGACCCATGCATTTGGCAGTTTAAGTCACACAGTCCAGAATATTGGTCATCTGTTTTCTCAGGGAAAGCCTTCCTGTGATGTTCTTATTGCTAACAGTGTTTCTGTCTGGTTAACGGAAGCTTTCTGGCCTAAGTGGAGGCTGGGCGATGCCCATGTTTAAGGAGGGTGTGCAGTGTTGACTTATGTGGGAGGACTTGGCGTTATAAGCCATAGGCTTTCTGAATCACACAAAAAGTGATTTCACGCCTTTCTTTCTCCCCACACTTTGGTCTGGTTTTCACAAAGTCCTTCCCGACTTCCTATTCTCTCTCCTCCTCCCCCATCTCTGTGCCTTGGGGTTCTTTCTCCTGCTTGAGGTCACCTTTTGTTCCCGTGGGACATGCAAGTACAGGATTCTGGGTGTGACATTGCATTTGGCTCCTTGATTTAAAAGCTAGGTTTGTGTGAATTTTGCTCTTCCCAATTAGGTCTTTTGTCAGATTCTGGAGGTAGTTTTGGTGATTTATTTTTACTCTGTTCTTTGCTTACTTGTGATATTCTTGCTCTCTTGAGGTACTCTACCCTAAGCAGAGTTAACAGTACCCAAATGCTCGCTGCTTTTGTTTAGTATTTCGCTGACAAAAGCATTTGAAAAGCAGCATTCTCAAGTGAAGGAATGTACTTTGTAAAGGGATATTGTTCGTGTGTGTGTGTGTGTGTGTGTGTGTGTGTGTGTGTGTATGTATGTATATTAGAAGTAGAATGGTCCTTCCTGAATGTAAAAACAATTTTGCATCATAATGTTGTGCATCTGGTTCCAGAATCCCAGAGCTCTTGCTCAAGGTGTAGAGAGGGAGGACTCTGCTGCATATGGGTGCATCAGAGTTTCACATTTCATCTATTTTTGATTTCCTGTCCTTAGAGGAAGCCTTTGACCAGTTACCTCAGGCCACCGTCCCTGAGATGCAGCGCAGCAATTTGGCCCCTGTTATCCTGCAGCTGAAAGCCCTGGGGATTGACAACGTCCTCAGGTTCCACTTCATGTCTGTAAGTCCTGCTTCTGGTGAGGAGCGCATTGGGGTATGGTGAGGACACTGGCTGGGCATGCCTTCTTTCTTCCTCACTCAGCTAGAACACCGTATGCCACTTGTCCTGTACAGGGTGCGGGCAAACTGGCATCTAGGAGAGCCAGAATTCCTCATCGTCTGTAGTTCCTTTCTACTGGGGGAGAGACAAGTAAATGGGTAGTTACAGGGCAGCTTGACCAGTGCTCAGAGAGATAAAGGAAGGGGCCTTCTGCACCATTCCTTCATTCCCAGAAGGTGGGGCCTCGGGATAGAATGGGCCTGGCTGTAGAAGGGCCTGTGGTTCATGGTATCTCTGATGATTTCCTAAGGTAAGCTATAGGAGTGCAATCATTGGCCTACTGTAGGCTCCTGATGCATGCCTGCTCTACTGGGCTTTCCTCAGCAGCATGTGAGGCCTGGCCTGGGTGCTCTTGTTACACCCGTCATTTTCCCTCAGGTGCACAGACACAGAAGTGAGTGAGGGAAGATGGTATAGCCATCCTTTTTGTTGTTTCTCATAGGGTAAATTTTTTTTTTTAAAGTATATTGATCATGTTATAATATATATAAAATTTTAAGCTTATTTATCTGTTGATGTTTATTAGTAATTTCTTGATGTCTGTTGTTAAGTAGTAAAGTTTGAGTTCACTCTAGTGTCATGTTTTTGGCAAATGTGTATATTTTTGCATGTGTCATCTGCCCAGTTATAGCAGAGTCGACTTCTTTGTAGAGTGTGACAGTAGTGGAGTGTTGTGTAGTAATTCCCAAGCACTTATGCTGGAGCTTCTGTGAGGACGAGACAGAACAGGAGAACACAGAACAGGACTGTGTGCCCACAGGAACCCGGCATGGTGCTTTTCTGTCTTGTTACTTTCTCACTGTGAATCTCCAGATCCATAAGCTCCCCCACTGAGCCTGTGCCCATCTTGCCTTTCTGAGGAGCACAGTGGTACCTGAGGGAAGCTTGGTTAACCAGCTGTGTGACTTGCACATCATGATTCCTTTGCTCCCCTTAGTGTAGCCAATCAGGAGTAAGTCCCACACTATAAAGTCACCAGATCTTTTAAAAATTTGACTTTGTTCTTTGGCAAACAACAACTAAAAGCCAGGCCTCTGACCCTGCTGTCAACTGTTACAAAGCCTTGTTCAAATGTACTTTTCTGGTTGTTATGGTCCTCATCTGTGGAATCGAGTTAAATTACTCTGCTGCTTAAAGTGCATTTGTTGTGCTGCAGATTTGGAGGAAAGGCAGTGCAGTCTGGAAAGGTGCTCATCTTGTTAGCTGCCTAATGGGAACCAAGCTCCTAGAAGGATCTGCTGATGCCTGGCACCCAATGTGCTTAGTGAGGGTTTTAAGGAAAGAGGTGTCAGAGCACCCATTGAAGGGCACAGTGTGAGCCTTGTTGCCCTTTGCAGTATCAGCATTCCCCGTTTTTTCAGCAATTTGAACATGTGATTAGCTCTCCATTGGCAAGGCCTGCGCAGCAGACGTTAGTCCTTCCTCTGCCTGCGCTGCAGGGTTGGCAGCTCCCAGTTCTCCCAGTTCAGGAGAAGGCTGAGGGGAGCCTAGGCAAATGAAGGGATAGTTTCTAAAGTAGAGGACTGGCCCTGCTGATGATGGTGAGGGAGGGCTGGAGCAGTGCTGCCAAGGATGCTACACAGGTGGGAGACACATGTCAAGGTGCCCACAGCATGGAGACTGGGCACTTGGGCTGTGATAGAGGAGCGTGAGCCAGAGTGCTCACATTTTTTTGTTCCTTGTCAATGAAACTGATTTAGGAGGATTTTCATGTGTTTTACAGCCCCCGCCGGCACAGTCAATGGTCCAAGCCTTGGAGTTACTCTATGCTCTTGGAGGTATGCCTGTTTCTTGTGTGCTCTTCTATATGATAACACATAGCTGGACTCAAACTAACATTTTTAGAGTCTTTTAGAAATGGGATTGGTCGTCCCTATGTGTATAAACTCTTTAATGCCATTTACTCTATTGAAATAGAAATAGACAAAAGTAACTCATGGTCCACCTTAGAGTTTTATTGCTTGACAGCTCTTATAAAGGAAAACATTTAATTTGGGGCTGATTTACAGTTCAGAGGTTTAGTCCATTATCGTCATGGTGAGAAGCATGCCGGCGTGCAGGCAGACATGGTGATGGAGAAGGAGCCAAGAGTTCTACATCTGGATTCACAGGCAACAGGAAGAAACAGCCAATAGGCCTGGCTTGAGCTTCTGGAACCTCAAAGCCCACTCCACAGTGACAGACTTTTCTCCAACAAGGCCATAGCTACTAATAGTGCTGCTGTATGAGCCTATGGGGGCCATTTTCATACAAACCACCATATGGCCAATATGATAATTTATAAAGTGTGATTGAGGCTATGGAAGGGAGACTAGCAGATCTCCACATACCTCAGGTCTTGTCCTTAGACCCCTTTCTCTCTCTCAGCCCCATTCTGAAATCCCCTTCATTTCATCCCTGAGTTCCTTATGGGGATTGGGCAAAGGCCCTGTGTGCTGTGGATGAAGCCCTGTTGGTTCATTTGAAAACATAGTATGTATCTTAAGTTAGAGAAAATGGTGCTGGCCCAGGGGGTACCATCTCTTTCACGGGTGGTGCTCTCTTGGGAGGTTCTGTGAGTAGGGTATTGAGAAAGTTTTAGTGGAGGCTTTGTCGTGAGATTTTGTCTTGAGTATTTTAAAAATAGTTTATTGAGATTGTACAGTGCTCAGCAATATGTCAGTTCATCTTGCCTACTGGTGTCTGTGTGCTGTCTTTTTACTACTGAGTTGGAGTCCTTTGCATGTTCTGGTTATAGCTCCCCTGTGTGAGTGTAAATACTCACCCCGTTTACTTGGAGGTGTCTTGTGCAGTTCACTGTTTTGACTGTGTTGCTTGTTTTTTCTCAGCTTTTCTTTTGCCACTTGTGCTGTGTCCTCATCTCTAAGGACACACTGCTGTGGGGATGGGGCCCTAGTTTAGTGGTAGAATGTGTGCTTGGTGTACAAGATCTTGAGTGCAGCACCTAGTATTCCAAGCACCAGCCAGACAACCAAAGGAGACAGCGTTGCTGACTCTTCCTTACGCTTTTACTTGCAGGTTTTGTTGTGAGTTTTAGCTCTTGTACTTAAGTCTGTGATCTGTTCTGGTTTGTCTGTGTGTGTGTGTGTGGAGGGGGGTGGACCCATATTCATTTATTATATTTACACTTCTTTCTCTGTGAAGAAATCATCAGTTGCATCTTTTAAAGCTCCCCACTGATAGGAAAGGTCTTCAGCTTGGGGCATAGCATCAGTCCACTCTGTGTGTCTTGTTAGGGTTTTTGTCCCCAGCTCTCAGGATCTAACAGGGCTGTGTGAACAAGAAGCAGGGAATGTTGGTTATGTGTCATCTGTCCTCTATAAGGGTTGTTCTGAAAGTCAAACAGTGGGCAGACTCTGTCCTCACCAACATAGACTCTGGAGAGTATTGGGGAAACCCTGGTTTCAAAAAAGACAGTTATATTGGAACAGAAAGGACATAACTTTTCTGGCTCATTCCAGTCTTTTGGAGAACTTATTTTGATTGGTGAAATGATCATCTGTATCTTGGGGTTCTTGGGAATCCTGTGCCTGATAGTGAAGATTGGCAGAGAGGCCTGTGGGAAAGGTGGTGGGGAAAGTGGTGGAAAGATGGAGTCTGTCTACCTAAAGAGGGTCAGGGCCAGAGTTCATATTCTGGGTGTGCAGCCCTGTGGTTGCCCATGTAGTAAGAGAATGCTGGGTTTTGAGGCACTATCTGGGAATGTTTGTGGCTTCTCAGGTCTTAGTAAGATCCAATAGGTGAGAAAGCAGGACCAGTGTCGTGGAAAGTGGGGAGAGTAGTGAAGCAGCATGGTCAGCAGTTGCTGTAGCAGACATAGGCCGTGTCTGTGCTTCAGCTGTCAGACCCCACAAAGGACAGTTTCTGTGGGGCATCCTGGCTGGGGAGAGAGAGTAAGCAGGAGGAAGTGCAAGCTGCTCCTATAATGAAGTCCTTGAATAGAGTTTGTTAGAAGCAGCAGCTTTTAAAACTATTGTTGAGCTTAGCGTGACTGTTCCTCTTTTCATGTAACGGCATTAGTGTCAGGCTGGACTTAGTAGCAGTGAGTCATCGTTTATTCTCACAACTTCTGCTCATCTTCAGCACAGTGGTACACCTTCTGATTTCTTCCATTCCTCTGGCAGGTCTGGACAAAGACTGCCGCCTAACTGAGCCACTTGGCATGAGAATCGCAGAGTTCCCTCTGAACCCCATGTTTGCCAAGATGTTGCTGGAATCAGGTGGGTGGGCCTGACAGCTCCTTTTGACTTTATTTTGGTTTCCAAAGAACATGTTTCTCTGAATTCTCTGCACCAAGGGAAGAGGGACCAATTGTGGTTTAAAAAGTAACAACAGCAAAAGAAAAAAAAAAAAAAAAAAAAAGAAGGAACAACAGCAATTAAATGTTTATTTTTGACCAATGGTGAAATGTGTGTTTATAAGACATGGTGTGATGTTTGATACTTGTATAGTAGAAAGCTTTAGTCAAGGTAAGTAGTGTATCTATTACACTATGGACTTCCTTTTAGTGATTTGAACTGTATATCATAATGCAGTTACCATAGTGTCAGATCACTACAGCTCACTCCTTCAGCCTGAAAATGTCCTCCTGAAGCGACATCACCCATAGTCATCGCTTATCCCCCCTGCCCCCCAGCCTCCAGCAGCTCTTTTTGCTCTGTTCCCATGTATAACTAAACTGTATACTGTTTGTCCCATGCCTGGCATACTTCACTTGGTCTAACACTCATTCGCCATCCGCATTGTCCTGGATTTACTTTTCTCAAGATTGTGTAGTAAGTATTCCATCATAGGCATCATGCTGTCTTTATCCATTCTTCTACTGATGGCCGTTAGGCTCCTTCCACATTTTCTGTTCACTGTAGCAGACACCACACAACAATTTCAGTTCTTTTGGGTGTACCTAGAAGCGAGGTTGCTGGATCAAGTGGCAGTTCTGTTTTAGGTTTCTGAGGAACATCCACGAATTTTCCAAGATGGATGTGCTAACTTTAACTGTCTGGAATCGTCACACCATGTGCCACTGTGGCTGTGTGACTTCGTATTCTAAAGCAACAGTCAGGGTTCCAGTTTCTCTGCAGAGTTTTGTGAGGAAGTGAGTTAGGTCAAGGTCTGTCTCTTTAGTTACAAACATCTTGACAGTACAAGATCTGCTTCCTTCCCTGGGAAAGGTGCTGATAGCATTTCATGCCTTTGTTTAAGTGGCAGTTTATGAAGGTATGGTTCAGAGCCAGCATGATGAAAATTAGCTGTGTGGGGCTAAGCTTCCCTGAGAGACAGATTCTAAGAGCAGCAAGAGCAGAACCCACTGTGCTTTGGGCAGTGAGCAATGGGGCGCCAGGCAGGAGTGCGTTTGCTTTGTCTAGTGCCGTGGTTGATGAGCTGGCTCAGATTCTGTTCTCAAGGCAGCAGCAGCTCAGGTTGTTGTCTGGTTGCCCTGAGCTGCAGGCTTCCCAGAGCCGAGCAGTACTTGGGAGCGGCAGGCCACCCACAGATGAGCTGAGAGCGGAAGGACCATGGGAGGAACACAGCCCTATACCTCCTCTTCATTTCCCTCTGTGCTTTTACCTGGACTCCCGCTGTCCATATAGAGGGCCAGGAGCAGGCATGCCACTGACCTGACCCTGGTGACAGGCCAGTGTGGCCTTACCCTGGCTGGTATCAGTAGCCCTCAGCCTCAGCATTGCAGGCAGGAATTCTCAGTAGGGACTCATGGGTCCATCTGTGGCATACTGTTAAGTACTTACATACTAGGGACTTGAAAAAAACGAACTACAAAGCACGACCTTACTTTCTAGCACAGCACAAGGAAAGCACAGGGAAATGCCCTTTTCTCCTTTTGCTCCATTGTCTGTTTGCAAACAGGCCTTTTGTGTTCTAGGGAACTTTGGCTGTTCTCAGGAGGTCCTGAGCATCGCTGCCATGATGCAGATCCAGAATGTCTTCGTTTTCCCCTCAAACCAGAAGTCTCAGGCGGTAAGTCCAGTGTCTCCCCGAGCTCTTCACACTGTGTTCTTGTGCACGTTGTCAGAACTCGCATAGAAACTGCTGAAGACAGCTGTTGAAAAGATCCTAGCTCGCAGTTGAGTGAGTGTGCTCTGTGTTGTGGGAAGTATCTCACAAGCATGTTTGGATACCTTCCTGTACACTGTCACCCACAGCCAAGTGGATAAAGCCCTGAAGTTAATGCATCTATGTCTTTGCCATATGTATTAGATCTGTTACCTCCCCAACCCCAGGGAACAAGTGGCATTATTCAGGGTCTTTATCACAGAAGGAATTCAAGGATGGGGTCTGAAGGGAGCTTAAGAGGAGGTGGTGAACAGCATATGGTTGTAGGACATGGGAGGTCAGGCTGTCAGCTCTCCTGAGAATCCCACGTCCCCAGCACAAGAGGCTCCTGGTAGTCAACTTCTAAATGGAACTTTTATCCTTTACAGACTCGAGTGCACCGGAAATTTGCTGTGGAGGAGGGTGACCATCTCACCATGCTCAATGTATACGAAGCCTTTATTAAAGTAAGCACAGCCACGTGTGGGGGAGCCTCCACACACCAGGTCAGAAGTTAGTTCACAAACACCTGTCCAAGAGACCTGTTGTTGGCGATACAATGGTATTGGGCTAAATATCATTTATTATTTGGCTTGTGATTATTATGGTGGTATTATTTAACCCACTATCACAATTAATAAGACAGACACCTGTTAGATTTTATAATTGTCTTTTTACCTTGGGCTGGGCAGATATTTCTACCTATGCTATCTCAATAACCTCGCCATTCATCTCCCAGCCTTCATCCAGTGCCATCCTATTTGGGCTGCTTTCCATCCATAATCTTATAGATACTTGCTTATATTTTTCATCTTGGTATTTTCTCCATTCACACCATCCTCAGAGGCCTTCCTCCCTGCCCACATGGCTTCTTCTTCATGCTCACACATCTTGGCATTCCTCTTTCTCCCCTCTTCCTATTTTCTTCTCTCCTTCTCGTGATTCTCCTGAACCCAAAGCCCAGAAACCTTAGCCACGCTACCCCATTCTGCCCTGCCTAGGTTTTAGTCTTTTAATCAATCAGTCAGGAATAATGTCTTAGGCAGGTTTACACAACAAGGATAGGGCAGTGACCAGATCTTGAGGGCCAGTAATTAGCATCAAAATAGAAACATCAGACCAGCCCCCAAACAAGACCCCTCTGTTTTCTAGTTATGTAGCTCACCAGCATTTCACTGGGGATCCCAGCCTGCTATTGCTGGAAAGGCTAAGGGATGTGTCCTTTCCTTGGTCTGGGATGTGCTACACCTGAGGCTGGCTGACCGCTCAGTGACCTCCTAGTGTCCTACAGCACCTGTGCATGGAAGGAAGGGTAACATTTGAATGGGCAGTTCTGCCAGAACAACGGAGAACCACTGCTGTGTGTCCTGAGTCTTCAGAGTCACCCTGGGTCCCATGAGATCATGCTGAATGAGGCTTGCATGTTCCTCCTTGGGAGCGATGGGCAGTGCTAATTCTGAGTACTTCTGTGGGACTGAGAGCAATTAATAGAACTTAAAATTCTCACTTAACAGTGATATAAAGCTTTTAAAAAGCAATGTGAAGAAAAAGAAATAATATTTCATAATTTTAGTAATATAATGCATTTTTACCAAAGATTTGTTTTACCAGAGGTTTCAGGATGATTACCCAATAAATGAGATATAGATTAAGTCAGTTAAGACTCAGGGTACAGGTACAGTGTGCCATCACCGAGATGAGCTTCACGCAGAAGGGCCCACCTACAAACCTGCATGGTGTTAGGCTGTGGTTGCCTTGTGAAAAACCCTGTGTGGATTACATTTTTAAAATGTTACTATGGTAAAAAATTTATTTGAAAAACTTTCCTCCCAGCTTAAAATGTAATTTTAGAGGTATATTTTCTCTGCAAAACCTAACACATGACTTAATGAATGGCCTGAAGAAAGTAGAAAATTAAGCATTGTTGGTAGAAAAAAAAAATCCAGCTTTGAGGTCAGATAGGGATTTGAAAATGACTTCTTCATGTGCTGTATTGTTTCCATAGTTTAATACAATGAAAGGGAATGTTAACAGGCTCATCCAAGGCCACGGGGAGGCGGACGTGACCCTCCTGAAGTGTGTTTAGCTTGACCTCTGCTTCCCATCTCCTCTCATGTGCTGGCTAGTGTGGGGACAGGGCTGGAGTGACAGACAGATTGCTCGGTTGTTACCATCTGCTTTAGAGATAGGGTGTGTGGGTGTCATCAAGCCAGCAAGTGGAGGAAGAGAAGGGGCTCCTGGCCATGGCTAGGTCTGACTTGGCTAATGTCTCCTCTGTGTGATCTTTCTGCAGCACAACAAGAGCTCCCAGTGGTGTCAGGAGCATTTCCTGAATTACAAGGGTCTTGTCAGAGCTGCCACTGTGAGAGAACAGTTGAAAAAGCTCCTGGTCAAGTTTCAGGTGCCCAAGATGTCCAGCGAAGGTGGGTGTGGCGCTCCCCTGCCTGGGGCTTCCCCCCTCTGTTCTGCCCAGTTGCATTCTTCAAGTTAGGCTGAGCACTTGTAGCCAGCAGCACAATCTGAGCTGTGTACACTCCTTCAGTGTACGGCTGGGTGTCTTTGTGGGTAGATCCATTTATATTTTGTGGGCTGTTGTTCTCTACCCCAAATTTTTAAAGCTTACAGAAATGCTTAAGAATTGGTAGCTTCCACATCAGTGCCCATATAACTAATATCTTGATAGTTGTTGCAGAAAATTTACCTTTTATTGTGCGGAAGGACAGTGTCACAGGCTGACCTCACACTTATTATGTAGCTAAGGATGACCTTGAACTTTTGCTCCTCCTGCCTCTGCAAGTGCTAGTGTTGTGCCTGTGTGTGCACGTGAGTGTCTGTCTGTGTGTGTGTGTGTGTGTGTGTGTGTGTGTGTGTGGCGGGTACACAGAGTTAGGTCTTCTACCATGTACTGAAATCAGGTCCTAAGGCTTGCTTGAAGGACCTTCACTTGCTGAGCCATCTTGACAGCTCTGAAAAATTACTTTTAAGTGGGTGATATTCGTAGGTATTACATGAAAATTGCATTTTCTTTTAAGGTGCAAATGTTATTAAAGCAGACACCATATGGTTAGCTTAGGCATTCACCAAGGGTAAGGCAGAACACCACTGTGCCAGACAGTCTCACTTGCAGCAGTGGCTGGGGTGGGCGTTTGGAGGCCACAGCAGGTTGCCCCGTGTCAGGGTGTCTGCATTCTTTTCCATGGTGTGGTTTATGGTGTCCTTAGTTCACAGAGGAATCGGGAGGGTGGAAGACTCACAAGACATGGGAGGAAAACACAGCTGTAGCCAGCAGAGCCAGAGACCTGGAGCCAACTTCTGGGGAGTGGCGTACTGAGTTCATTCAGCAGTCTTGAAGCCCGCTGTGCAACAGCACCTGTTGACATCTCCTGACAGCATCTGCTAGTCTGGGCAGCCATGTGATTATGTCCTGTGTTCATTTGCACCGTGCTCTCAGCACTCTGGGAGATGTGTGCTGCTTTTATCCCGTGTATAGAAGGAAAACAATGATTAGGCTGAAGGTCTTGTTAGAGTCAGGACCCAGGAGGGTCTGTTTCATTTTTGCTTTTATACTAAGAACAAGTGATTGAAAAATGACAAAAACTTGGTTCTCTCAGAGCCCAGGGTGATGAAGAGGCTTCATGGAGACAGACTAACTGCAACGTTAAGCTATGGGGCCTTTAGAGGTGGCCCTTTAGAAGTGACGATGTGTAACCATGGGCCACCGTAGCAAGTAGCAGAAATAAATGTAGGGAGGGAGAAGTCCAGCAGGACTTGGGCAGAAACAGAACCCTTACAAGGGCTGCCAGCTGGCAAGCATCTGCCCAGGGTCCTGTTGCCTGGCAGATAAATGACAGCCACACGCCTGTATCTTTGTGTCTTCTCCTGTCATTATCACTCGGTGCCCAGGGCAAGGGGTATGTTGAATTAAAATTCTTCCTAATAGGAATGGAGTGCTGAGAAATGAGATTCTATAAAGCTGAGTTTTGTAGCTCACAAACTATTATAATATGAGTTTGCACCTTTATGAGGTAACCGCTGAGAACAAATCCTATTGTACATGGGATTCTGAGCAGCTGGAGAGAGGGGCTGCATGTGTGGGGGTGCTGGCTTGGGGCCTCGCAGCTCTGCTGGGAACAGCAACAGCTGTCAGGCAGACCAAGCAGTTACCTGCGAATAAAAACACGTCTAGGAGGTTACAGAGTAGTGAAATGTGTTTTTAACTAAGTTTATTATCAAGAGACTTTATCAAGCCCGTTTGGTAGGTGAACAAAAGATTAGAATATAAAATTTATTAAGAAGAAATAAAAACACAAGTAGTAATCAAATTTATAAGAAAAAAAAAAAAAGAATGTAGTCCCCTCTTTTGCCAAAACCTGCTGGAAAGACTTCAATAAAATGCTCTACTTATATATTATTGACAGCCCTGTAAGGTTACCAGCTGCAGAGACCTGTTTGCTCATGTACTGTACTTCATCAGAGCTAAGATAGGAATCCATCAGGATTTCATGTATTGCTAAGAAAAGAATGGCTGTCACTGTAATTGTGTCTTGACTTGAGTGAGTTAAAATGACTTAGAATTGACAAAATAGGGGTCTCTCCAGCCAGTAAAACATGATTATTCCTTGCATGATAATTTAGAATTTGTCTCATGGCTGTGCTACGAATGCAGATGCTTTTTTTCAGGAAACAATAGAAATGTCAGTTACAAAGGAACAGATGTTTGGAAGTGGCGGAGAATGGCAAACTAGCTGACAACCAGAGACAGGGCAGTGTGCCTTCGCAGTGTGTGGCTTAGGGAGAGAAGGCATTTCCGAAATGCTCTGAGCTCACTGAACCATCTATGGAGCAGCTTCTTGGACCCAGTACTCTGTGGCCTGGTGTTGGAGAGGCTCTGGTCACGGGTACAGTCCTGCCTTGTCCTTAGCAGCTGCTGGGGAGGATTCCTCTTCAGGAGCTGGACAGTCGTAAGACATGGGAGGCACAGGGCTAAGCGTGCACAGAGATGGCTTCAGGTGCTGGAGCAGGGGGTGAGGTGGGAGTGGGCGTGGGGTGGGGAGGGGTCTGGGCATGATCCTGCCATCACAGCCCAGGCCTCAGCATATGGAATATGGGGCCGGAGTGCTGGGTCTCACCAGGCTTCTGTTGCTGCCTTGTGTAGGTGATCCAGATCCGGTCCTGAGGTGCATTGTGTCGGGATTCTTTGCAAATGCTGCGCGGTTTCACTCCACCGGAGCATATAGGTAACGAGATTCTCAGGTTGCTTGGCGAAGGGAACAGAAAGCTATGTGCAGAAAAAAATCAGGGAGCTTTGAACATACATCCTGCCTCCTTCCAGAACTGAGTGAGACGATCCAGCTTTCAGTAGATGTTCGTGCTCTCCGGGAGAGTCCTAATACTCAGAGCATCTCAACAGTGACATGTGTTTTAGAATGATGGTGACAGATCTGCATTTCTTATGGGAGGAACCATCAATAGGATGTTTCTAGAAGCCACTTTCCCCAATGGGTTGTTCATCATCCTCAAGGCTCCATGCAGGATGTGGACTGGTACATGGGGCTTCATTTTGTGTCTTTGGAGTCCAGCAAGTATTTCTTTGCTAGTTACAGTACTTCCTGCCATAGCCTGTAGCCTGTTTTCTCATGCTGATGACTACAGTAGCTTTTACTATAAAAACTACAGCATAGTTTAGCCTGCTCTTCTCCAGGCTGAGTACTTAGGTTCTTGGAATTGTTACTTTAAGTTTGTCTCTTCTGTCCCTGGCTTATTGTAGTCTTCTAACTTTTGTACCTGTGTAAGTGTAACTGTCTTTGCCACCCCATTTCTCAGGGTTGAACCTAGGACCTGAACCCTGCCAAGCAAGTGATCTACCATTAGATTTCACCCCAGTTATGCTAATTTTTTTTTTTTTCTTCTTGAGGTCTCTTCACTAAGGCTGGCCTGAAACTTGTGATCCTCCTGCCTCAGTCCCTCCACCCCCGGAAGTTGAGATTACAGGTTTGTGATACCAGGACCAGTTACCTTTTTGTCTTTAGCAAGGGAACAATTGAAAGGCTTTTTCCTGCCTCCTGTTTGGATTTCTTCTATATATTATATTTCTGTTAGGCCCCCTCTCCTACCTAAAATGTTGCTACCTTCTATTTGAGGCCAGCTTAGAAATTACTTTTTGCAGACACTACAAAACCCACTAAGCATTTTTGAAAAACTTTTTATTGGTTCTTTGTGAATTTCACATCATGCACCCCAATCCCACTCACCTCCCCCTACCCTTGTACCTGCCCTCTACCCTTGCACCTTCCCCAACAGATAAGGAAAAAAAAATCTGGAAGCTGTAGTGTGTCCCACAGTATAACCTTTGTCCACATTTCTTTGCTTACAAATGTACATTGCAATGGCTTGTTGGTTTGGTTCGAGGCCTCTGGCTTTTGCTACCCCATTAATACTGGAGCCTCATTGGGCCTCCTCTTGGTTATCTTGTTGTTGCCCTGTGTTATAGAGATGCTGTAGTTTTGGAATTGCAGGACTGGCCCCTTCATCGATGGGGTAGATGTTGAGGTGGGCCAATTCAGTGCCCTGGATCTGGACCTGAGAGGTATCTGAGCTGCTATCCTGTTCTCACACTCTTGGGGCTGGCTCACTAGCAACCAGGGCCAGCTCTACCCTGCTGCCCAGGCGAGGTGCAGGGCCCTCTCTCCAGAGTGTTGCAGCTGGTGAGGGGCATGGCCAGTTATTCTACTCTTATGATCCAGGGACCAGTTTTCCCACCATAGATGGCAAGGAACAAGCGAGGGGAGGAAGGCATCTTACCCTCGTCTGTGCCGCCTTCCAGCAGTTTTAAAAAAAATATATTATATATAATATATACTTATAATTTATATAAATAAGTATGTATTTATTTATTTTATGCTATGAATGCTTTGCCCCCATGTTTTTTTGTGCACCACATATGCTCCTGGTGCCTACAGAGGCTGGAGGGTGTCAGATGCCCTGGGACTAGAGTTACATGTGAGTCTCCCCAAGTGGGTACTGGTAATCAAACACAGGTCCTCTGAAAGCTGGTGATAGCAGGCAGTGCATTAACCTCTGAGCCATCTCTCTATCCCCCACTGCATATTTTTAATTTTGGCAGCCACGTCTGCCCCCTCTTCCTGGACTTTGAACTTGACAGCATAGCCCTTGGCCTCTCATGTGGTATGCACTGTTACTTCAGACCACATGGTCCACTCATGACTCCATGATGCTATTGCCCATTAGACAAGCCCTGTTCCTACATTCAGGGAGTCGGGAAGTGAGGGATCCCCTGGAAAGGTTGAGCTTTTCTCCAGTGTTGTTCCTCCCTCATTTTGATTATTCCTCTTTCTTGACGAGTGTCAACTATTTCTGTGGGTGACCTTAAATTATTTCATGGGGATCCTAAACGAGGCATTCCGTGAGAGTCTAGGGCCAGTGATTCCCTTGAGATGATGTTCATTGTCAGTTATTTCACTACCGTGTGACAGCAGACACCCCACAATGCCATCGTAAGGAGCCGGTGATGAGCTTGACACTGGTGCCTCAAGCACTTGTCTGACACACAGACTCTTGATGCCACAGACGTGACCATATGTACTCAGTAATTGGCATTCTAGTCTGCTCACGTTTATGATCTGATCGTATAGATAGTTGGGCATTTACTTTGTCATTTTTGAATCAGGTTGAACCAAATGTAATATGTAATCAGAAATAAGTATTCCACAGGAACTGGCCTATGCTTGCTTGCTGCTCAGTGTTAGCTCCCATGGTCTTTCTGTAGTGTTTAGTGCCTAACTTGGTGCAGTAGGAAAGTCTGTAGAAACTCGGTTTCTGTTGTAAAGGGATTATTTTGAAAGGGAATTTGTAGAAGAGAGACATGAACATAAATGTGGATAGAACATTCTTTTCCTATGGGTTTAGGTGTCCACATTTGCTTTTCCTTCACATACTAGGATTAGGTCAAGGCCCTTGCTCATGGTAGGCCGACTCTGTGCTGCTAAGCTAAACCTTACACCTTCTTAGTTTAGCAGAGACAGGTCTTGCTAAGTTGCCCAAGCTGCCCTCAACCTGAGCTCCTTCTGTCTCCGTGTCCCAAATAGCTGGGACTGCAGCTGTGCCCCACCTTGCTGGCCCTTCTTTTTATTTTATTTTATTTTATTTTTTTTGCGTGATTTGTTTTTCACTTCTAGGGTGGTCGTGATGGTGAGGTGTGTTTAGAGCAGTGGTTCTCCACCTGTGGGTCCTGGCCCTCCGGGGCTAAAGGACATTTCACAGGGTTACAAACATAGCAGCTGTTTACATTACAATTCACAACAGTAGCACAATTACAGTTATGAAATAGCAATGAAAATAAATTTTATGGTTGGGGGTGACCACAACATGAGGAACTGTATTAAAGGGTCACGGCATTTGGAAGGTTGAGAACTACTGCTCTAGAGAGTAGTGTCTTTTCCAGGTAAAATTAATTCTATTATACATTTGGGGGAGGGGGCTGTATTAACACGTTCGTGGAAAAGTACTTAAATGTATAAAGTATTACAAATTCTTACAGTAAATGCAACAATGTGCTTCACACAGAATTCTTATGTCTCATAAGGACTATCCGCGATGACCATGAGCTGCACATCCACCCTGCTTCAGTCCTTTATGCAGAGAAGCCACCCCGCTGGTAAGCCGCTCCCATTGCTGAACTGGGCCCTGATTAGAAGTGAGCCCTGGTTCCTGCTCCTCTCTGGGTCCCCAGGCCTGGCTTGCAGTGCAGGTGCTCTATTGGCAGTGTTGACTTTGATGTGCCAGGTTGCCAGGATGTCTACTCTATCAGGAATGCCCTAAAGGAAGGCAGTACTCCAGTTACTGCCCCGCTGCCTTGTACTGTACTCAGTAAAATCTCCATATTTTTAACGGTTTATTGATTCTTTGAATTTCACATCCTGTACCTCAGTCCCACTCATCTCCTTGTTCCTTCGCATCTGCACCCTCTGCCCTTACAACCTCACCTGCAAAAGAAAATAGAAAACACAAAACAAACAATAAACAAAACAAAGCATAGAAAAAATTTTGTTGTGGAAGCTGCAGTGTATCATAGTGGGTCCCAAAGTATGACCCCTTTGTCCACACACCTTCGCTTACAAATGTTCGTTGTAATGAGTCATTGGTCTGGTTTGAGGTCTCTGGAGTCTGCTACTCTATTAATACTAGGTCCTCACTGGGACTCCTGGGATATACTGTGTTGCCTTGTGTCACTGAGATCCTGCAGCTTTGGATCTTCAGGACTGGCCCTTTCACATACCCCAGCAGTTCATAGATGGGGTAGATGTTGGGGTGGGCCAGCTCAAAGCCCTGGCCCTGGGCCTGGGTGGTAGCTGAGCTGGTCAGCCCGCCTAGTTCTGCACCTACACCGCTAGGGCGAGCTCTCCAGCCCTGCCCCTGCTAGCTCACCCAGTGCGTCCTCCAGCAGAGGCTAGGTACGGCTCTTCTGCTCTCTTGCCCTCAGGGCTGACTTACCTGTGCCTTCACTGCCATCAGGGCCAGCTCCACTGTGCTGCCCATTATAGATACAGTGAAGGGCAGGGCCAGCTCACCAGCTCTCTGGCTCTCCTGATCCCAGGACCAGCTCCCCCTACTGCTGCAGGTGGTGATCTCCTTAAGCAAACTGCTGGTTATCTCCTCACTCAGGTGCTCATTTTGACCCACTGACTAAAGGCTTTACTGCAGTAGGCACAGCATGCAGAGATGACTTGGATCCCCGCTATAGTTGTAACAGATTGAAGTCTCATGGGAGAAGTTTTCCTAAAGGGCTGTATGTGGTGTTGGGATTGGCACTGATGGTGCCAGGAAGCCAGGCTAGCTTAATGGAGAAGCTGACCCTTGCTCTGGACCTGGACCGAAAGACATTCACACCTAGATGGCAAAGCTGTGGCAACGTGAAGGAAGCACATGTCTTAGTAGAATGGGCAATGAATTGACAGTGGGTGTCCATTGGGTGGTTCCAGTTTGCTGTACTAGCTGGGAGGGCAGAGACAAGTGCAGTGGTGAGAAACAGCAGAGATACTTCATTTTTTCATGAGTCATAGTTATATCTTCCCAGGTCAATGTTAATTTGGGCTTGTATTTTGTGTTTGTTTCCTATTTTTAATTTATTTACATTGCATTTTACAAACGTATGGATTGACAGAGGATTAGAAAGTTTAAAAGACAGCAATGCTTGGCTCTTTACCGGTTCTAAGAACAGTGCCCTGGGGCAGACAGGAGCATGTGGTGAGAAGTGGCAGTGGCAGGGATTCTGGGAGTGGGGCCGTGGAGACCTTGTACTTACTCTTCAGGCAGCAGCATCATGTTGGAAATGCAGGTTCCTGGGCCGCATCCAGCCCTCTTCAGTCAGAACCTGTGGTGGTGTGTGGGAGGGGCCGCTGTTTAAATAGGTCCTGGCAGTGTTTCTGATGTATTAAAGTTGACCAAGGAGTTAGACCATGCTGTAACCAGTGCAGATCCAGACGCTTCTTAGGCGCGGAGTGTGAGAGTAGTGCTGGTTGTGTAACTGCTTCCCTGCCACCTAGAGCATGTGGAAGTCCAAGAGGGGACCCAGACATCAGTGCGTGCCCCTTTCCATCTCTCCATTCCCCTCTTTCCCTCCAGTCCCCCTCCTGCCTTCTCCTCTCCCGACTCTTCTCTCTCCCTTCCCTTTTTCCTTCCCTCCCTTCCTGTGCTGGATGGACCCCCAGGCATTGAGCACACTAGGCAATTGTTACATTCCCAGCCCCTACCCTTCCTCCCACCAGATTCATTTACTGGTGTTTGACAGACAAACTGTGTGGCTTTTGTGTTTATAGGTTTGAAGTTCTCAAGGATGCCCCAAGTCAATTCTCCCCATGGTTCGGAAAGAAGTGTTTACTGTATGAACTCCTGAAGTCCAGGGCTTAGAAAACATGGTCCTTGTTCTTCGGTTGTGTGTCTCAGTTCTAGGCGTGTCTTTTTCCTCTTGAGACCTAAGTATGTGTAGTGAAAGGTGCCAAACTATATTTAAAATATTTCATCACTCTGGAAAGTTCCGTTGTATATCTTTGTAGTCGTTTTCCAGTCCATTTCAGAACATCAAGGCCTTTGAGTACATTTCTGTACTTTCTAATTAAGTCTTTCAAGTTCCAGCAAGTGCAGGCCACGATCTGGACAGGTATTGTGTGGGTAGCTGGAGAGCCCTGGAAATCAGGTAGGATGCAGAGTTGCATCGGTGAAACACATTGACTTCCCTCTTGGGTCAGGAGGCTGAGTGAGCAGCCACAGTGCCTGTGTAGAGTCCTGCACGGACAGTACACACCTGCTATGGTGAGGGCGAGACGACTTGTCAGCCTTGGCATTGTGTGTTTCACGTTTATTCTTTGTTCCAGGGTTATCTACAATGAAGTTATACAGACCTCCAAGTATTACATGCGAGACGTGACGGCCATAGAGTCGGCTTGGCTGCTGGAGCTGGCCCCGCACTTTTATCAACAAGGAACGGTAGGACTGAGGGGAACCTGGCCCCAGACAGGCAGCAGCCTCTTCGTAGTGTTAAGTCTGTGTGTGCTTCCTTACCCTAAATCATTCCCCCCCACACACACATTGCAGAGTACACAGGGAAGTAAAACCCTTACTGGATTCCCCAAAACTTACTGGTGGAACCACGTCCATTGCCTTCATAGGGCAGTGCAGTTAAAAACAAACCCTACAGCTCCATAAAAAAAGGCTCAAGGTGGTTGAAAACCACCGTGCAGTCAGCTCCCTGCCCTCCTCCCACAGCACTTGCACTTTGGACAACAGATATATGGTTCCTTTTCCTCATTTTTGCAAAAATGGTCTATTCATTGCCTCTCCAAGTCCATGCATTCTTCTAACATGACTTAATTGAAAGATGGTTGATCATGTTTGGGAGACTGGTAGGTAAACTGGGCCCACAGGCCTCCTGGCTGGGTATGGCCCACAGACTGTTCAGTCTGCACTGTGCTTTAATTGCAATGGCAAGTTAGTTATGTAATTGTTAGTATTGTGTGTGTGTGTGTGTGTGTGTGTGTGTTTTGCTAGAAATTGAATCTAGGGATAACTGATGATTATTTTTAAGCATGCTGCCTTGAAATTATTTCCTGTTAGTTCATTTTTAGTCTTTGTTCCTTTTTTAAAAACTTATTTTACTTTTCTCAAATTAATGATTTTCCTAGTACTGTATTTTATTTCTTAGTCACCTTTTACACCCTGGACTCCTCAAGTGTCACACTGCTTAGATACAATGTCTTTTGTGATTGAGGTCCAAAGCTAGTGCAATCTCTTTAGGAACTCTCCAGGTTCCCAGGGGCTGCCCATGCAGGGCGGGTCTGCTGCCTTGGACGCACGCAGCACAGCTCTCCGGTAGTCAGTATCTCTCCCTGGCATCTCCAGTGACTTTCTATCATCTGTTTTTCAAAGTTGCTTTCACCCTATAGAGGCCTGAAATTGCTCAAAGTCAACTGTGTTTATACTCAGAATTCTTTCCAGTAAAGTGTACCAAAAATGGCTCACGGCCAGAAGTTGTCCTGGCCCTTCCCTGGATACAACTACATATGCCAGGATTAGTTTAGGGTCATATTTGGTGAAGAACAGGGAGGAAAGAATCCAAAGAAGCAGCAAGCCCACAGAGATTTGCCTAGAGAGACCTTTGTGATCTAGGGAGAGTGTGTGGCCTCACCTGTGTAAGGACCTGTACTTGCCTCTCTCAGGCATACCCATGTGGAAAGCCTGGAATCTGGCTGTTTACTTAGACTGGGGCCTGCTGGTCTGTCAGCTCCTACCATCGTCGGTGGTGTGCTGTTTTCTTTCAGAGCTGGCAGTTCTCTGTGGGGTATTGTGAGGTCATGTTGGATGTGCTAGGACATGGGGTTCACATTAGTGTGGGGATGCAGCATGCTCTTGGGAAGAGCTCCTGCTCTTAGCTCGGCTGAGGGCTCTGTGCCTCGTTGTACTACGTTATTGGCGGGATGTCAGTTTCCCCTCAGCTGGTGAGGAGAGCTCCCTGATTAGAAACTCATGTTCATATATTTTACCTCAAATGCTTATTTGAGAATTTGTAGTCATTTTGTTTTAATGTAAAGAATTTTTATTGCTTAGTCCTGTTAACTGATGCCCATGGTGATGTCAGGAAGCTTCGTATGTTCTTTATACTCGGCCTCTTCAGCAGACGGCTTTCTAAGGGCACAGCATTCCTTGGGAAGGTGTGGTCCAGGTAGAGGCTTTGACTGTCTCACCATCCCTAGTGATGTTTCCTTTTCTTTTGCAGCACCTGTCCCTGAAAGCCAAAAGGGCCAAGGTCCAGGACCAGTGAGCGGAGCTCAGCAAGTGGCTGCGGGGACGGTTTGGCATCTGTCCTTCGTGTCGTTTAGCACCAGCTAAGGGAGAACAGACAGCCACTCTGGTGTGGCCTGCATCCTGCTCATCAGCCCCTCTTCCTGCTCCCCTCAGCATTTGCCATCCTCAGTGGGCCCCAGAGTAGTTCGAGCATGGCCAGCATGGACCAAGCAGGAGTTGGCTGGGCTGGGCCTGGCCTCACTCCTCACACTCAGTAGCCAGCACCCTGCGCCAGCAGGCACAGTCCTGCTCCAGCTCTGTGGTGAGGAGGAGAGCGAGCCTGTGAAGACTGAAGACCTGTGTAGACAGGGCTCTCTTTGCCTCCTGTGTCTTGCTTGCTGCCGTCACGGTTGTTGACTACTGCAGTCTACGGCTGCTATGTTCATCAAGTACAAACGGAAGTGCTGGGCATTTCCACAAGATCACCAAAGTTCTCGTCCATCAGGCCCGGGGTGAGGGTGGACGGTCTCCCAAACCCAGCAGCCTCTTCCTTCCCTCTGACCGTGTCCCTGCTTCTCTGCAGTGGAGACTCAGTGCACTGATGGTGGGCCACTCAGGACTCACAGCCCGAGTCCTTGTTAGCCACTCCCTTTGCAAGTGAGCTTAGCTTTCTCTCAGAGCACGATGCACATCCTGGTGCCAGTGGCTGGGCGCCAGGAAAAGCTCATCAACCTCGACGCCATGGGCTCCTCTTTAGCAGGAATTCACTACAGTTTAGATGCCCTAAACTTGTGTAGCTCAGGAACAAACTCTCGTATCTGTATCTTTGTTTGCTTGCGTTCTTGCAAGAACATGGGCAGCTCCCTGGGCACTGTTCACACTGCCCTGGGCAGCTTTGCTGTGACAGTGATGGCACTTCAGCACACGGCAAGACAGACTTCTCCCTACTGTTTCAATGATGTTTACTTTAAAAACGTAGCTTGAAAGTTTATTTTTGTACTGGTTTTAGTTTGGATGTGCCACTTTTGGCACCAAACCTATGTCATTTTTATTTCCATTTTATAAATGTGTAAATAGCAGTGTTAAGTTGTTAATCGTAGTAAATCTTTCTACCCGAGGGGACTTGTTTCTCCCATCTGTGGCTCGTGTGGTCTGTATCTTAAGATGATCCAGTTCATTATTCCAAGTGAGGCCTGGCAGTGGCTAAGGGACCTGATACTACCTTGTGCAATATTTGAGGTGGGTCGCTCATGGACACAAAGCCCTACAATCCATGATATGTGCCTGAATGCTCTCAGACCTTATTATAGCAAGGCGTGGGGCATTGTTTAAAGGAAGATCGGAAGAGGTTCTAGTTCTTGTCACCTGGGATCTGCCTGCTGTTTTATTATTTTCATTGGTGTGTGGCACCAAGCCATAGGTAAGCCATAGACGAGCCAGAGGTTAACCTCAGGGTTATTTTTCAGAAACAGGACATCTTATTTTTGAGACGGAGTCTCTCACTGGGGACAGGGGCTCACCCATGCGGCTAGACTGGCTGCCAGCGAGCTGCCGCGTGCCCCGTCTCTCCCCGCTCAGTTCTAGGATCACAAGTGTGCACCACCATGTCTGGCTCTTTGTGGCTCTGTGGAGTTAAACTCTGGCCCTCTTGCTTTTGCGGCAGGCATGTTATCAGTAGAGCCATTTCCCAGCCCCTTTCTGTCATTTTTTATTTTAAAACGTATTTTTTTTTCTTATATCTTGGATTGTTTTGCTTGCATGTTAATGTGCATGCCTGGTGAGCATAGAGTTCAGAAGAGAGCCCCAGATCTATTGGAACTGAAGGCTGTGACTACCCTGTGCGTCCTAGGAACTGGGCATGGGTCCTCTGCAGGAGTAACAGGTGTTCTTAAAGCCTGGTGTTTTTTAAAGGTTGTATTGTAGTGGAAGGGAAAAAGGCTAGAGGAACCATACTCTCAAATTTGAGGCCACGTGTCTAAAACAGGAAGCCGGACACTCTGGGGCTGAGCAGATGGAAGCCCCTTCCCTTGCCATCTTCTCTTGCCACATCTATCTTTGCATGTGTGGTCCCAAGTATGTAGCCCCCTCTGTACCCCCGCAGCTAGACAGCTGCCTTCCAGCCTTGTGTGCTACGCTGCATCACGCTGTAGCTCTTTCTGGTGGAGGTGAACCCTCACCATCAAGAGATCTGCAAGCACAGAACCTGGGGACCTTGGCCCAGGGCCACCTTCATGCAGTCTCATCTGTGACCTGCATGGGCCTGTTTCCTGTTCCGTGGATGGTTTTGCTGCGGATTGGAACCCCTGCTTCTTGCTTTGTGGACCAGTCAGCACATGTTGCTCAACCCCTTGGAATGCATGGTGTGGGGTATGAGAGTAGAGATGCTTGTCAACAGAGGCTGGGGAGTGGGCCGTGGTGGATATGGGATGAGGGCGAGACCAGGTGGTGGTTTATTTAGTTAGTTAGTTATTATTTTATAATGTTCTTGGGGAAAAATAAATGCCGACAACCTTACATCAGCCAACCAATTAAGAACCAATATAAAATGCAAACAAAAACATGGTGAAATCCCAGAGCCTGGAAACTCCTGGGTGTGGACTCTGGGCCAGCCGGCATCGCCACTGAGCATCGCCACTCCTGCAATGTAATCCCAGTGCTGAGCAAATGGGTTTCCAGTGGACTTGGAGGGCAGTGTAGGACCACTTATTCCTCACTAGAGGAGTTCGTGTCCTTCCAACAGGGTCAGAGCGGACATCTCCCACTTTTCAGTGCCATAACTGGGTTTCCCTCAGCTCCCGACTCATGATGAAGCAGATGGCGGGACTCTGGTTAGCTTCTGTTGACGTTTCTTCAGTCATGGGAACTGGCAGAAAGCCAATCCTATTCGACAGAGTAGCTGGGGTTTGCTGACAGGTGGTCTGGAGAGGACTTGGCGCCCCAGGTCCTCAGTCGTTGCTCTCTGCAGTTGCCAGGTCTAATGTGGGATGAATCGTGGTGTTCACTCTGGGGTGGTACTGGATGTGTCCCGGCCAGCTTTCTCCTTGTGGCTCTCAGTGCAATAGGTCCGCTGGGCTTCTGTGTATCCGTTGCCTACCGCTTGCAGGCTCTGCTGCAGGGGCTAGGATGTGGAAGACGCAGTACCGAGGCTCACCCCAAGTCTCCACAGCTAGGTGAAGACCCAGTACTGGCTGCTGCTTCAGGCTGCTGAGGCCTCTGTAGGTAACTCCCCAGTCACTGGCTTTGAGTACAAAGGTCCCTGTTCTTTGTTGGTCTCAGCCTGATGGATGAATCAGCACTTGATGCCAAGGTACCCAGGCCTCTCGTCTGTATCCCGACCACTTCTGTGGCCCCTGCATTGGGACACTGGAGGGACCCTAAGAAAAGTATTGGCAGATAGGAACTTAACAGCCAGCCTTCTGCAAACGTTAGCATTTTTCTTGATGGCTTCCCTACCCCATTTGAATCTGGTTCTTCATGCGTGCATGTGTGTGTGCACTACCCACACGTGGAGGTCAGAGGATAACTTTTAAGTGTTGGTCCTTACCTAGCTGGCCCGAAAGCTGCAGGGATTCTCCCGTCCCCACATTCCCCACATTGGTCTTGTAGGAGTGCTGGACTTGCAGATGCATGCCACCCTGTCCAGGTTTATGTAGGTTCTAAGGATCCGAACTCAAGTCCCTGCACGTCCAAAGGCGAACAGTTTTACCTGCTGGGCCGTCTCCCAGCCCTCATTTCCCTACTTTAAGGTACAGTCTTAGCACATGTAGTATGTGTGCTCTGCCCCTCGGCTGCTGCTGTTATCTGGGCTGGGCTGTCCACTTTACTCGCTACCCCTGACTTCTGCTGCGTCATTTCCTCGTAGCAGGAAGTTCTCAATAAAAGAACACGAGTTGTTTTATTTATCCTATACGGTTTTAACGAATATTTTTTTTCTTAACTGTTTTAGTTGGTAGGTCTTTTCTGTACCCATTTGTTTCACTAAAGTAAAAAAAAAAAAAAAAAAAAAAAAAGGTTTGTATCGTTTTTTTTTTTCATGGCCCTGCCAGTGTTTTGTTACATTTAATATGTTGGGTTTGAACCAGCATTTCACCTCCCATTTTTTTTCTTTGCTCCCTTCTCTTCTGTCTTAGCTGAATTTGCTTTAGGAGTTTTCGGGGGCCTGGATGATGGTGTCTGCAGTGGGGTGACACCAGCCGGGGGTGAGGTGTCAGGAGCACACAAAGCTCTCTTGGAAGTCAGTGGGAGACCGTCTCAGCAGGAAATCGGGCAAAGGGGTGGACAAGCAGTCCATACGGACAGATCTGGAGGCCCAGCACACCAACCCAGAGAGGCCGCTACCAGAGAAACGTGCCAAAACGGCTACTATGTGTTGCTTTGTATGGTCCGTGAGGGTGGTGGAGTGCAGTCGGAGGCCTCTGTGCCAGCACTAATCAGCTCTTCACAACAAGCGCATGCGCATGCTCTGTGGCCCAGATGGCCGCCTCTCATGCACCCCCCCCCCCCATAGTACCCTCCAGAGCAGGTTCTCCCCTTGGAGTGGGAGGGCATGCAAGGGCAGTACGGAGGATGACACCGAGGCGTGCTGTGGAGTGCCACACTGTCACACCACGTACAGTAACGTTGGAGAGCGCTGAGCAAAAGTGAGAAACAGATGTGACTGTCACAGAGGAGAAACAGGCCCTTCAAGGGCGGCGCGGAGACTGTAGAATGGACAAAGCAAGGAGAACCAAGTCTGGTGATAGGAATGGTTAGGACCAAACAAGGTGTGTGACAGGCTGGAGAGATGGCTCATTGGGTAAGTTTAGGTGAGTGTAGATCTCAGCACCCACACAAAAAGCTACGCATGGCTGCACTCGGGCCTGTGACTGGTGCCGTGTGAGCTGTAGACAGGAGGATTGCTAGAGTTTGTTGCCTGTGTTTAGAAGTCCTAGGTTTAAGTCCCACCTGGACAGTGACTGTAGACCTTGGCTTCACAGTTTATCTCTGGGTCAGGTTCCAACCTGTCAGGTGAGGATGACAAGTTGGTATTAACTTCCCCTTCTTCCATTTGCACAGGCACTAGTTTGGGTTTCAGAAGCCCTGGCCCCGAGTTTGCTCACTAGGCAAGACTCCCTGCTTTCTCTAAGTCCAACTGTGTCCTAGCAGGCTCCTGCTGTCCCTCCTCCGTTACCTAAGCCAGACTGCCTGTGCCAGGATCTGTGGGGGCCCACATCTCCTCCAATGAGACAAGACATCCAGGAAAGGTCAGATGGGCTGTCTAGATGGGCAGAAGCCTGGGGAGAATATGTCTGGGAGGGGTTCTTAAGGGCCTAGATTGGGGGCCCCTGGTCCTGGCAATTATAACACCAGATCTTTTGTGAGGAGTGCTTCCATGCTGGCCACCCTGGGCAAGTGATAGCTTCAGGACAGATGCTCACACAGATACACGGTACTCTAAGGCCCCAGAAACAAGCCTGGACCCTATCTGGTGAGAGACACATGGACATTTAGCCCACCAGTGACTCATGTATAGCACACACACACAAGTGTGCATACTCATCCCAGCATTCAGATAAAATGTTCCTGTGTATTAGGCCCAAGAAGTACAGCAGTCAACACAATACAGCCCCTACCCCCGTGGAACTCACGTTATAGATCTGGCTGTAGCCCATCCTTGTCAGGGATGTGGAAGTTCTGATCCCACCCCAACCTCCATCTCTTCTGTCCTGTCCACTGGCTCAGCTTCTGGTGCTGCGGAGTGGCGCTATGCTGCCCTCTGCTGGCCAATGGGCGTCACTACTCAGTTGACCTGTTTTGGTTCCTTTTTTGGCAACCTGAAAGAGCAGATACAGAGGACCTGAGGCAGCTGAGAAACTATTTCCTCTTTATTCCATTCATGCCCTCCCCCCTCCTTGCCTGTAATTACTTGGATGTAGAAACTGGAGCTTTGTTACTGTGAGGACCCGATTCTACCCCTAGAACCTGTGTGTGAGAAAATGCTAGGTCTGGAGGCACAAACACAGAGGCTCTTTGGCCAGCTAGTCTATCCTAATTGGTTAGCTCCAAGCTCATTAGAGACGATCTCAAAGGAGGTGGACAGCATTCCGAGGACAAACGCTCGAGGCTGGCTTCCGTGTG